ACAAATAAGTTTGAAGCCTTCATGTTTTCTTATGCTTGAGCTAATAAACGGTAAGTCTGAAAGCTCTATTGTATTGCAAAGTGTCTGTTCTATGTCTAACCAAGACTCATCTAATGGGTTATCTTGCAACCATCTTGGTATATATTGCAGCCTGTTGGCTAGGGATGGGTACCTTTGACATTTGAATCGATCCGGTACCAATTCCCGGTACCTACGAATCGATACCGGTACTTAACGGTGCCAATTTTTGATACTTTTGAGTGTTTATTATTTTAATTCTCTTTTATAATTAAATATATATTTTTCTCAATATATAACAATATTTGATATAAATCACGATAAATAACATTCAACTGTTTGTATTTTAACATCGTCCTTGTAGTTTTATAACCTGATAATTAAACTGAAGCAAACATCTTTACTGTGAACTAAATTTACTGTGTATCTTCATTCCTTTTGCCATCTTTTTTCATTTGATTTTTCCTACTGGGAAGTTAGAATTTCCGAGGGGAAAGCAATCGCACCATTAGCTGATAACAATGGTAGCAATGGAAGCTAACACACCAAGCTAACGTTATCTTAAACAGTTTATTTAGCTGCTGGAGCAGATTAAAATGATGATGCCTCACACTTAGATTGTTGTCACTGGTTTCTTTCGTCTTCACCCGTCACATTTAGTAAAGTGAAGCCAAACTTTAGAGCTCGTTCATGTTCTTTTAGTCGGGAATTCGGAGTTCCGAGGAGAAAGCGAATGCACCATTAGCGAAACGGAAGCTAACATATAAAGCTAATTATATTTACCTACCATTGGTAGAACTGTGGATTTTAACCAGTTTATAGAGTAATCTGAAACTTTTGAAAAAGAGTTTATCATTTCTATTGAATGAGAGAGAGATGATTGAGAATTCCGGCGAAAGAGTAAAACATCATCTGCATAAAGACTGATCTTATGTTCCATTTTCTTACACTTTATCCCTTTAATACCTATTGTTTGCCTAATTGCTGCCACTAGTGGTACAATAAAGATAGCAAACAGTGAGGGGGAGAGTGGGCATCCCTGCCTGGTCCCCCTCTGAAGACAGAAACTAGCTGATATTTGGTCGTTCGTCCTGACACGTGCTGTTGGTGAACTGTATAATGTTTGTAGCCAGTTTATGAAAAAGTTCCCAAAACCAAATTTATGTAAAATTGCAAATAAGAACTTCCAGTTAACCCTATCAAAAGCCTTTTCTGCATCTAGAGATAATATACTAGTTTCTATGTTTCTACTGTAAAAGAAATCTATCAAATTAAGTAATCTACGTGAATTTGTGGGTGATTGTCTACCCTTAATGAAACCAGTTTGGTCAGGGTGTATTATGAAGGGGGTTACCTTCTCTAATCTTTTTGCCAGGGCTTTACAAATTATTTTGAGATCAACATTAATAAGGGAAATTGGGCGATAGCTGGTAGGAAATGCACGGTCTTTGCCTGGTTTCAGCAAGAGACTAATATTGGCTGAGTTCATGTTTGGTTGTAATCTGCCGCTCTCTTCGATTTCCCTCACCATTCTGAAAAATGTTGGAGCCAGAATGATCCAGAATTCTTTGTAGAACTATGCTGGAAACCCCTCTGGACCTGGAGCTTTCCTATTAGTCATGGATTTAAGGGCTTCCTGGAGCTCAGCTGATGTTAATGGCGAGTCCAGGACTGTAGCTTGGCTGCCTGATAATTTAGGAAGTTTTATAGAAAATCCAACTTAAATCCAGCTGTCAGTCGATTAAAAAAATTATTTAATTAATCACACAATTTTCTGTACTTGATTGTGATTAATCGCAATTTATCTGATCATTAGCCTGGCTGCTCTCACTTTTGTCCAACTTTATATTTCTCAATGAAAAACTAAGTTGTCACACACTCCATGGAAACTTTCAGAGAATCCACAAATAGTGGCTTTCAAATGGTTTTGTTACTTTTGCAAGTTTAGAAAAGAAGCAGACGAGGCAGCATGTCTGATAATTTAGTTTTTCATCTGATAATATTAGAACATGTCAGTAATGTCTGAGGGGCTTTTATAAACACTGGACAGGGTTTGGATTATACAAAGGCTTCTGGGGAGCCCAGTTATAGGGGTGGGGGGTGTTCTGTTTTGCCTTGGCCCCCAAAATGCCTTGAAACGGCCCTAGGTGTGTGACTGAGTTTTGAAGGTGATCTGAATTGTATCAAATGTATAAATATTACATGTGTGTAGCTTGATTTATATAAGTAAAAACGTGTAGTGGCGATAATTCTACCTACATTTTACTTTTCAACACTTTTGTTTTGTTTTCTTGTTTTTATTTAATTATTTTCCGGTCCAGTCTGTCTCTCATCTTCCTGCGTCTCCTCTAAACTCTCCAGAGAAACTGCTGCCTGGATTCTTACTTTTTCACCTCATCAGTTACTTTTGAGCAGATCAAAGGGATCTCCTGACTGCAAAGCGGAGAGCGCGTTTCGATGCTGCGCCAGTGAGGTGAAATCACCTCAGCACAGGTGATGAGCTCCGCAGTAGCACAGCGCTTCAGGCACAAATAAGACAAAGTAGAGAACATGTGTGGACATGAACGATCATGGGTTAATTATGGTTTTTTGGTTGCGCCACTTTGAGAACGTGGCGTGTGCTGGACGCAGCTGCCTGGAACGCACCAACGATGTGACCTGAGAGTGAGAATAATCTCTCACAAGGCACTGTGGTTGCAGGGGTTGACAGGTACTTGCATGCAACAGGTGCCAGTCTGGAATATGCTTCTTCTCTCTTCAACCACCACGGTAATGAACTCAGTGGACTCTTATAAAAAGCAGCTGAAAACTCACTTGTTCAAAGTGGCTTTTGTATGACCTTCTTCACCACTCTATCTGCTCTCCCCACCTATTCCACCTTCCTCAGGATCCACTGATTTCCCTCTTTCCTATTCACTCTCTCTTTCTTAACATTTTTTAATCACAATTGTCTATTTTTTGCTCATTTTTAACCATTTTCTAAATTTTTTATATTTTTACATTTTTTGTTTTTGTGAAGTGCCTCGTGATTTTTATCTTGAGAGGCGCTATAGAAATGATATTTTCTTCTTCTTCTTCAATGTCCAATATCCATTTTGGGCTCTGCTTTGTACTGATCTAGACAGCGCTCCATGGACAGCATTGTCCATGCTAGCAAGCTTTTCCTCTTTTTCTGCTGCTACTGCTTCTAATCATTTCCAGCAGGTCAGACACCAGCATTGCGCAATGCTGCCCCCTCCTTCAGAGCCGCTCACGAGTTTGAGGTGTCGGATTACGTAAAATAATAATAAAAAACCTGCATTAATTATGTTAATTTTTTTAAATGCATTAAACATGTTACATTAATTAACTAAATTAATGCATAATTTTTCACAGCACTAATATATCTTTAGTTGCAGTAAGTGCAATGTAAAAATCCTAATAAACAGCTTCTGCATCAGCCTGGCAAACAAGCCCACAGGAACTAGCTGGTAGCGATGGGTTATGGACTATTAACAGATGTGAATCATTTAAAAATAGAGTGAACTATAACAATGTTCTGCAAACAGATATTTACATAACTTGTTCCTCTTCCTCGTTGGAAACAGGATGCTACAGTTTTCATAGCTAGTTCCTTACATACACCTGTCACATCTAAAGTATGCTTGTATCTCAATCAGCATCTCTGGAGAAAAAAAAGATTTTTAATATGATTTGGTCATATATGGGTTGTGCAAGCAACGAACCATGTTATGGTTTACTTTACAAGACATACTGTCTAAGATGAATGATAAAAATGTTAAATAAACATATTTCTAAACTAGATTACATCATTATTAGATGTGCAGAGGCATTGAAACAAAGCTAAGTAAGATTAGGTGATTATCTTTGACAATGAACATATTATCCTAATCAGCATTGGCTGGCTCAAAAACATAATGTGTATTAGCTTTAAAAGCCAAAACCTTGCCTTACAAGACTGCCAAGAAATTCCTGGGTTAGTTTCCTCGAGTATGTGATAAATGTGCTGGGGTCAGCAGCATTGTGCTCACGAGTTGTTTATGATGGGACGGTTGTAAGTTCAGTCCAGAGTAGAACTAAAACAATTGGGCTTATGTGGATTATTTAAAACAGGCGTTTGTCTCTCTGGACACGCATGCATTTGGATGATAAATTATATTCCTCAAATCCCCCGATACTAAAATACAGTTGGTGTTATTAATGAGAAAGAATGTTGCTTTGCCAGCAATGTTCTCCACCCCCTCTCACAAACACACGCTGAAAACGTCACCCCACATGCCCACAGCATTATGTTTATATGTAAACAATTGACCATAAACTTGCTAAACTGCCATCACCTTTGAGTGGCCCTTCAAAATAAGACATAACCTAATAAATTACATATTTTAATGACACAAAACGGGTCTTTAGTTTGTTCAAGGGGGACATCCTGAAATGTAAACTGGTCTTTTTGCTGACATAATTTAAAGTTACAACAGCATCAGCAGAAGAAGTCCTGAACTCATTTGGGTGTGTCCTCAGAGAAAACTTTTCAGCACTAGTGGGAATTGCAACACCTACTGAAAACTGTCATTGAGCCTTGAAAACACCAGTTTCACACGTTTCTTCAGAATTAAACACGTTAGTACACACGTTTTACTATAATGCTAAAACTGTCGTTGCTATACAAGCACGACGTTGTGACATCAGTTTTGATTCACTTAAGGAAAAACATAATGCGAACAAAAACGGGCACATCTTTCTATCTGCTAGCATAAACTTAAATATTAACTAAACTTAAAATTAGCGTTTTGTTTCGTAGGAAAACAAATCTCGGGTGATAATTAACATTTTCATTCAATTACAATTTTGTCATTAAAATATCCTTTTCGCCCCAAGAGGTCAATCTTTTGACCGTTAAACAGGTGTGGTTACGTTATTTCCCCGCTAATAAACACATAAAACACATATTTCACTCTGAACAGAAAGACTGGAAGCCTTACCAATGCAGAATTTTTAAAACTGCCCTTGGTTGATGCTATCTTTCTGGCTGCTTTCCCTGTGCAAACCGACACATTGGCTCCCCAAAAACAAAACGCTCCCGTAAAAAAAAAACACCCCACCTTCCGGAAATGAAAACTAGATGACAGGATGTGACGTCATCTCGAAGTCCTGGTAAAATAAAATCCTTTTTTTTCCAGCATTTTATAAAATGTACCTAAATAACTGAATTTTAAATTATGTATGTGATGGTTTTATATTTCTAAAAAAAGTTATAAAACTTTTAAGGAACTATTTTACCACTAACAACAAATAAATCCATAAAAAAGTTTTAAAAGATCCACATTTATAAAACAGCTTAATGTTTCATATTTATTAGTCTAAATTTTCTAAATCAAGACCGTGTTACATCACTAAATATTTTATATGTTCATATCTGATCAAGTTGCAAGCAAAAAGCTTAGGAGTGAATAGAAGGAAGTTGGGAAATTCATTTGTTAGGGCAGCACTGGAGAATAGGAAAAAAATATACAAGTTAAAACACCAGCTATTACTGTAACCTACAACAATTATAAAATTATTAAAAATAGAAAATAGCCTTTCCAAGGAGAAAAAGAATAAAAGACAGATATGCAAATGTGCATCCAAGTTTTGCACACATACTGAAAAAAGAAAAATTATATTTAAATATATATACATACCATATACATACACACGTGTGTATATTAATACTTCAAGTATTATTGCATTGCTGTTTCTATAGGAAAACTTTGTGAAATACACATTTCAATTTAAAGTTTTTTGCTGTCATTTGCCTGGACAGTTAAACAATTTGTTGGCCTCTTGTTTGCATTTTTTATCATTAAAGTAATCTAATCTAAAATGTTTTAACCCTCCCACTGTCCTTATGGGTTTCCTTGCGAGGAATGTTCACCATTGAGCAGGATTGATGGTTTATCCCTTGAGGTCCATGTGGCAGGGGTGAGGTGGTGCTCACTCCTCACCCCTGCCACATGGACCCAAGGGATAAACCATCCACCCTGCTCAATGGTCAACTTTCCTCGTGGGGTCACAACCATTAGGAGTGGGAGGGTTAAATGCAATTTTTAATAAAAAAGATGAAACAAGTTACAGAAAACAAAGGTCAAAACGGATTCATACATCCACTCATTATAGACCAGCTCCTCCAGGGAAGGTGTTCCCTGGCCAGTGTTTCCTGGGTCTTCCTTTAGGTCGAAGTGTCTAGAAAACCTCACCCGGGAGATGTCCAGGAGGCTTCCTAACTGGATCCCTAAAGGCTGGTTTATGCTTGACGCGTCCGCGAAGTCCGCACGGCTCCGTGCGGAAAAGTTGCGTCATTTTAACAATCACGCCTCCGCACGGCCCAAACTTTCCGCACCGCGCACCTAGGAAAATTTCTAACCACGCGGACAGTCAGACGCGGAAAAACATGGCGGACAAGCAAGAACTAGTATGGCAGAGTTTCGTAAATACAGACATTTGTATGATTCAGCTCTCAAAGATCACCGTGATCAACATGTTGTTAATAATTCTTGGAGAGAAATAGCTCGCACTGTCGGAAAAGACGAGGACGCTGTTGAAAATGCTGGAATGCCATGTTGTAAACAACAGTTTTTACTTCTACTATGGTGTAGTGTTGGATGCATGCCATAGAGCTCCATGCTGCCCCCTACAGTTTGGGAGAATATTGGATCACCGCAGAGACGAGCAGCATGAACCATAAACGCTGCGAGTTGTGAAGCGCGTTCCATCCGCGAGCCGCATCACCAAGCGGAAAGTGAATGCGTCAAGCATAAACCAAGCTTTAGCCACCTCAACTGGCTTCTCTCAATTTGGAGCAATGGATCTACTCCAAGCCCCTCCCTAATGACCAAGCTTCCTACCCTATCTCTAAGAGAGATCCCAGACACCCTGAGAAAACTCATTTCAGCCGCTTGTATCCACGTTCTCGTTCTTTCAGTCACCACCCAAAGCTCGTGACATTAGGTGAGGGTAAGAACGTTAAATCTGTAAATCAAGAGCTTTGTCTTCCAGCTCAGCTTTCTTCACCACGACAGACCGGTGTAACACCCGCATCACTGCAGACACAGCACCAATCCACCGATCGATCTCCTGATCCATCTCTCCATCATTTACAAGGAAGAAATCAAGATTCTTAAACTCCTCCACTTGAGGAAGAACCTAATCCCTGACCTGGAGAAGGCATTTTACCCTTTTCCAACTCAAGACCATGGACTCGGATTTAGAGGAGCTGATTAAAAATTGTATTCCCCTAAATCTTTCCTAAGAATATATGGATTAGAATGAACATTATTTGATTAAAAATTCAAGAAAACTACATTTTTTTTAATGACGAAAATAAGTGCGGAGGTCCCAATAAATACATTTGTCATCATTTTCTTGTTAGCTCACTTTTGTAACTTGATTAAAAAATATATTTTGGTGAAGATCTGTCTGCTATAAGATCTTTTAAACCACAACTTCCTGAATAGTTGCCTCAAAGGCCTAAATTAAAGTCTGTGATTACAACAAACAGGCCCCTGCGTGTGTTTCCATGCCTCGGCTCAGTCCCTGCAGGTACGGTGAGAGAAAAACAAAACAATTATATGGAAACACAAGAACCCATTTTAACTGTTTACTCAGATATTTGTCTACACAGGAAAGTCTCACTGAGACACAAAGTCTCATTTTGCAGACATTAAATCACTGATCATTTAAAGTTGCACAATGTCTCAACAGAAATAGCCCTCCATCAACACTGTTTTGTGTTTCTACAGCTTAGATTGTGCTGGTTTCTTTGGCCAGAGAACATCCTCCCATGTCAACACGTTTGAGCCATATTCACACACATTATAAACCTTAAAATCTCACTGAACTGATTTAAAAGGCAGAAACAAGCACATCAGTTCTAATACAATCATATGTATGCATATCCCTCTCACTTTGTGACACGTTGGTTTTCACAAACCCGCCGAAGCAAAGATCTCATCGATGTCATCAGATGCGATCTCTGACCTATCTAGAGCCTTGCTCTGCAGGTTTTCTTTAAAATACGCCGACAGATGATGCTCTTTCCGTCGTCTGACCAGTCTTGTCTTTTTTGCCTCCATTCGGACCTTAAACAGCATAAATTGGGTCTTGAGTGAATGCAAAGTTCTCGTCGGACTAGCAGTTCTTCTGACTGGAGCTGAGGAAGAACAAGTCTTTGCCCTGGATCTCTGAAGAGACAAAGCCCAGCGGACCTCCTGTCTGAAGACCTGGAACTTCCTCTGCAAGCTGAGGACAACAGAGCATTTAGGCATCCATGTCACAGACGTAGGTATTAATACTTGTGGTATTTTTTTATATTTATAATGCTCTTACTTGTATCCTGCTGCTTCCAGACATTTTAACCTCTGGCACTTTAAATGCAGGAAGCTCAGGAGACGTTTAGTTCTCCTCATCCTCAACGATCTGCACTGTGAAATAATGTCCTCTAGATTGGCAGACATGCGAGAGAACGTGGATGCATCTTCTACTTGTTTCCTGGCCTTCTGTTTCTTGAAAAGGTCTCCCGAGATGGATTTACACTTGGTTTGTTCCTGATGGTTAATAAATACATGTGCTTGATATTTAAATTTACGGTGAAGGATGAAATAGTAGTTTTTACATACCTTATTGAAAAGAGGCTTAATGTCAGCATCAAGACCAATATCTGGAGAAAGATGATTATGAGTAATGACATTACTTTATAAGCACATGTGAATTAAAATAAGGAAGCTTAACAACACACTACGAATAAAAGCAACTGCTCCAGGTTGGGGCTGGGCGATATGACGATTTTAGACCGTTTTACGATCTACACATCTGACGGTCTGTCATTTTTGAGAGACCTTTTTATCACGATTCACAGCTCTGCTGTTGAATTTCTGCCTCTGAATGAAAAGGGAACTTACCCCAGGCGAATGACACGCCTTTGTTTGACCCTTAACCAATCAGAGTGAGTCATAGTAATATATTAGTGCCCCGCTTGTTTTCACCTGTGTGTGAACACACATGGCTTCGGCTGCGGCTGAGAGCGACAACGAGGTTTTCGCTCCGAAGAGGAACGCCTCGTCCATTATATGGAACTGGTTTGGTTTTTCACCAGATGACAAAGAGCAGCGAAACGTCATTTGCAAAGTTTGCAAGGAGAGCGTCAAGGCAAGTGATGGCAACACCACAAACTTGTTTAATCACTTTAAAAGAAGGCACCCCAAACAATCCAATGAGAGCCAGCTGGCAGCTAAAGCTAAAAAGCCTGCAGCTGCAGCGGCTAGTGCTTCTTCCAGGCAGCAAACGCTAACAGAAACACTCACAAAACACACTCCCTACGACAGAGACAGCAGACGATGGAACAGCGTGACAGATGCAGTGACGTACCACTTGGTTAAAGATTTGTGTCCCGTGCGAACACTAGGAGTGGGATTTAAGAAAATGATAAAAACATTGGATCCGCGCTACGAGTTTTCCAGCCGCAAGTATTTTTCGAACACCGCCATTCCACGCATGTACGCTGAATGCAAAGTGAGAGTTGCAGAAAATATTCAGAATGCGCAGTTTTTTGCTACCACAAGCGATCTCTGGTCCAGCCGCACATCAGAGTCATATTTGAGCTTAACTATCCACTACATGAGCAACTGGGAGCTACATAGTATTTTGAACAAGTTAATGTTTGCACAATACGTTTGCAATTGACATGTTTGCACTTTAAATATGTTTACGATTTTAATTTATGTTAAGTTACTTGAAAAACGAGAAAAACTGATTTTTGTAATTGTTTCTCTCAGGGCTTTTATCATCTCTGGTGTGAGTTTAAAATATAAGTGTGTTAGCACTGTGTTGATTATCCCTAATATGAATAAATGTTTGTTTATTCAATGTTTCTCTTCTTTAATACGCAATAGAAGTTATGCTATTCATGGATAAAAAATCGTGATAAAATCGAAATTGTGATAAAATATTGGAAAAATCGTGAAATTCTATTTTTGCCATATCGCCCAGCCCTAGTCCAGGTAAAACAGAAGACAAGACACTATACCTCTTTTGACCAAAACCCCCAGGTCTTCTGTAATCTTCCTCTTCTTTCCCTGGGTTCTCTCTTTATCTGGAACATTCTTTTTGCTTTGCTGCTTTATCTTCTGATCTTTGACGTGAGAGTGAAATGCACAATGCGTCTTCAGTAATAATTTATCAGAAGGACTCAGAATCTCAGCGATAGTAGCTGGCAGGGAGATGCCAGTGAGGTATGGCATGGGTTGGGCCTGGGACACATCCCTGAGGAGTTCCAGGACATTCGGGTACAGTTTGGCGAGCCCAACCAGGATACCACGGAAAATCACCCTGGTAAGGCACAGAAAAGGAGAACTTCAACAGTTTTTACATTTTAAGATACTGGTTTCAAACTGGTTTCAGTGGTTCTTAAGCCAGTACCTTTAGCAACTTCACATTGGACATAACTCTGTAGGCCTCCACTGACCAGAAACTGCTATCAGTTCGCCAATAAAAAGCCCAAAAAAGATCTAAACATAGAGGTAAAACCAGAGTGAACCTCGGCACAGCCTACACTCATCTGAGGGAGTTAAACGAAGCTACAAAATTTCAGACTGATGGTGACCTGGATTTGTTGCTACTGCACGTGTAAATTTAAAAAATAAACATTTTTTTTTCCCAATGGTGTGGACCTTTTTACTTTGTGGATCATTTGGTATCAGTTGGCTCTTGTTCATCATTAGCGCTAGCTACAGCAGTGTTGTAAACAAGAGCCCCATTCCCACCTGTACCGGGTCGGCCCGGGCCGGGTAGCCCCAGTCGGCCCCAGCCTGGCCCGGTTGATTCCACACATCATTGCCTTAAGCCCATGTGGGCTGCTTCTACCCACCAATCAGAGGCTTGCTCTAATGGAAGGTGTGAATTTGCTGTCAGCAGTGGGCGTGTTGGCCCTGGTCGGCCTGAAGCAGTACCCCTTGGGAAGAGGGCCGAGAATGAGCCTTGGTTGGCCCGGGAAAATTCCAGGCCACCCAGATATGTAAACAACCTACGCTACCCGGCCCGGGCCGACCCGGTACAGGTGGGAATGGGGCTTAATGGACCATTCCCACCTGTACCGGGTCGGCCCGGGCCGGGTAGCGTAGGTTGTTTACATATCTGGGTGGCCTGGTATTTTACCGGGCCAACCAAGGCTCATTCTCAGCCCTCTTCTCTCGAGGGGTTCTGCTTCAGGCCGACCAGGGCTAACACACCCACTGCTGACAGCAAATTCACACCTTCCATTAGAGCAAGCCTCTGATTGGTGGGAAGAATCAGTCCACATGGGCTTAAGACAAGGATGTGTGGAATCAACCGGGCCAGGCTGGGGCCGACCCGGTACAGATGGGAATGGCCCATAATCTAACACGAGGCACTGCTCCGAAAATGATCAGTAAAAATGGCTTTTTCTGGAGTTACATTTGCTCCAGCCTCTATTTTGCAGTTTCTCAAAGTTTCTCTTACCACAAACGACTGAGCATGCTGGTGATCACCAAACACAATAACACAAACTCCTCCAGTTTCATTTGCTGCCTCGTGAGTCTGAAACAAAAATGTGTTAAGGATAAACCCCCCCCCCAGCAATAAAGTGATCAGAAAAAGACTAAACCCTAACTAAGACGCCAGCAGTCAAAAACGACATGACACCGATACTTTTATGATGCACACAGATAACACAATCCTCTAAAACAGGATACATAAAGGCTCTTTTGCAGCGGGTCAAGGTGCAGCTTAGGAGTTTGCTGGCTCCCAGGACTTTGAGGCAGGTCCACTCCAGCGTGGGCTGACTTGGAACATTGCACTCACCGCTCTTGGTGCACAGTGTCCTAAAAATGCACACAAATTAACATTAGTTTGAAAAAAGCTGTGTAAGGTTGCGCTTTAGATATTTTAAAACTTGATTTGACCTATCCTGTTTCATCAACTATAAAGGAAGAGCCTTGGGTTGTTTGCTTCTTACATTTGAATCTTAGTTGGACACAAATTTGCAAGATCCTCAAGAGCTGCATCAAGCTTCATGTTCTTCAGTCTGTTTACACATTGTTCAACCTGTGGGAGAAGTCAGACATGACAAATACATCTAAAGAAGTCCACATCAAAACAGTTATTCTGCAGCTTTGGTGCTGACCTGTTGTAACCCCTTGAACGTCTTGTTGCCTCTCATGCTGTTGTTTAGAACGTACAGCAGCTCGTACAGAACTCTGATTTCCGTCCAAAGAATATTGCTGCGGAGAAGCTTCAGGACTTGGCTGTTTTCCCGCTGCAGGGTTTTGAAAACCTCAGCTAGAAACACACACACACACACACACACACACACACACACACGAGTGTCACCATCGAAGCACACGACGCAAAACCCCTGCGCGCACACGTGAGGGCTGAGATCGGCGCGGTTTTTACGCGTTGAAACGAGCGCGAGACATCAGACAATATAAGTAAAACACGTAATTATTTTAAAGTTAAAAAGCCAAACCTGTTGTTGATGTGAGACGTATGTGGACGCTTGATGTCGCACTGGGAAAGGGAATGTTTACCCTGTTCCATGGTTCCGCAGCCATGCTTTCTGCATTCCATGTACGGAAGCCGATTAGCCAATAGTGTTCGAGTGTGTGACGTCAACATTGGATTTAAAGGTACAGAAACAAGTTTGACACTTGAAATCGAAAATTGAAAATAATAAAACTAATAGATAAATAAGACATTTGCTTATTCTTCTATATTTTTTAAATTGTTACAGAAACAATTTACCATTTTTAAAAATCAAAGTATTTCTAAGACATTTTGAAGTGAAATTCAACATATTTTGAATATTTAAAATCTACAGAAAAAAGGATATTTTTGATAATGTATTTATACACTATGTGGTAAAATTGGAAACATTTATTAAATATTGAATAAATATTTTTAAATAATTTTACAAGTTTGCCATCCCCACGTGCTTGAGCTACTTATTTTTTTTAATGTTGCAATATTTGCAACTCTGCTCTTGCAATGTGCACACATTTAGAAAATGAATTAACGTGAATACTTTGCTTGCATAATAAAGTTTTAACACCCAGTAAAAACTGTACCAACAGATTTGTTGTAATAAAAACAATGTGTTTTATTTAACAAATGCAAGAAAATGAAACAAACTAATAACAAGATGACTCCAGTGATTCACTTAAACTCAATTTTCTTTATCCAGTTGATAACTTTCAGGTTGATCTCATCCATCACAGAATCCTCAGACCTTCCTTTCACTTTCAGTCCATGGCTGCCTCCTGCTATCCATAAAACTTCAGCCTGAGCTTTTATATCTTTCAGTACTCCACTGAAAAGCTCCTAAAAAAGATAAGTAAATACAATGACTGAAATATAATTGTGAAAGTTGAAATGGATAAAATAATACATGATGTCACTAAATTATAGATTTTAGGATATAATGAACATAAAATTAAACAAATAAAAAACTGAATAAGTGAACTTAAAAGGTACCAGGATGAAGGCCCGGTACATATTTCACCCTCACCCTGTCACACATGTTGTCCTCAGTGCCAGACACAAACAGCACATGAAGGCACTCAGGCAGCATCCGGAGATCTTCGCTCCGCTGGTGATGGATATGCCTCTGTCCTGGAGGATGCAGGGGGAAAGAGAGACAGATGACTCCCTGCACTGCTGCTTCCTTCGACTCCTCACTCAGCTGCCTGGCCAGTGCTGCTGCAGCACGACATCCCAATGACCTGCCTGTCAACATACAGAAAAAAATTTTAAAATATATATTTGTTTTATTTTTAATACTCGTTTCTGTTTCATATGTAATTAAGTTTTAGAATATGGCAACTGATCATTTCCTTGGCTTTTACCTCCAACAAACGTGTGTTTTATTGTATACTTCTGATATGATTTCAAGTAGTCCTAGAGCAAAAACACAGCAACGTGTGAATACACACTAGAATTTATTAACATAATTTTATAAAAAATGGAAAACCCTTACCCACACTGCACAATACGCCTTAACTCTATAACTCAGATTTAAGCCTTTACACGTAAAACGAAGGCAGATGAAACCATTTGATGCTAAAGTGTGTGCCAGAGAAACCAGATGTTTGTAGTTCATGTCTCCCCCTGCTCCGTGTGTGAGTACAACAGCTGTATGGACATCTTTTACTGAGGCTGGGACACACAAAGCAGCATCCAGTACTTTTGTCCCAAACGGGACCTTCACCTGTTCCTGAAAGTTAACAACGGCAAAAACGGTGTTTTTTTTAACTTGTGAAATTCTTATCTGTTCCATTTACCTTGAGACGCTCATAATCATAATCTGGCTTGAGTTAAGGTCAATAGTATATTAATTAGTAGTGTTTAAGTAACTTTTACCTCATCAAACGTCGCCATTGATTGCATCTGCTTCTTAATTAAAAATGAAGCTCGACAACGAAGGCGAGCCATCTAGCGGTCAGGAGGTGTAACTGCAACCGGCGTCGGCGACTTCAGCAGCTCAAGAATAAGAAAACATTATATAAATAGGAATGTTCTGTTCTGTGGAAGCACATTCCCGCCACTCTAAACTATTATTTTTCTCATAATTATTATTTAGTTAATCCCAACATTATATAATAATAATAATAATAATATAAAATAATATCCAACAATTATGAGATAGGTATCTCTTAAGTGGCGGCAATGGGCTTTCATATAAAAGCTAAGTCCTAGGACTTTTTTAGTATCTATATTATGAGATACTATCACATAAATCTGAGATATCTAAGGCATATGAGACCCTGTCTCATTAGTATGACTTAGATATCTCATAAATACTGGTTGAAGGCTTTGTTAATAATCATCTCTGAAATTGGCATACGAGTTTTAGGCTTGTGTACATGTTGAGTTGTAAGTAGAACAACAATGAAACAAAACAACAGACAGCATTAAAACATTTATTATAAAATTACAAATTCATAGACATGTTTTTATTAATTATGTAAAATATCAAGTGTTCATAGTTCATCTTTTGCCTGAAAAAGTAAAAGAAAACAAATCATATTTTTTGTTTGAAAATGACACAATGATCACAATTGCTTGCAAAACAGCAAAATTATGTTTTCATAGTGGTTTTGTGTAGTGCAGTGACAGTTTTAATCCAGCAGAGGGAGCCATACACCATAAAGTTCTATTACATTTGCAAAAGTAAGAGTTTCTAACCTGGCAATGCTTTTTAAGATAACACATTTTTTAATTCACAGGTGAACTATTTAGAACATCATTTACAAATGTTTCTTTTAAACATTCATTAGTAAATATGTGCAGGTGCAGTTTGAGACACAGGACTGATCTAAACCCTTACCGGAGTCCGGTGGCAGGAGCATGGGAACAGGTCATCAGTGGGCTGCTCAACAAGCACCATGTCCTTCCGAACATTAGGCTCAGTGATCTGGAGTTTAGCATATTCCTAAATGAAGCGCCACAGCCGTGAGAAAGTTAAGCATCGATATTGCAGTTTATTATTACTGCACAAGTGCAAGACTGATACCTTAAATAGTTTGTAGTAGTAGCAAAAGACACCATCTCCCATAAGGTGGCTGCGTGCAAACCGCTGTCCTGCAAGTGCAATTTTCTTTGCCTGCAAGACAGCAGAAATATTATTTGCATAATTTTTACAAAAAAAAAAAAAAAAAAAAAAAAAAAAAAACAAAGACTGGCATCAGTTAAAATGGTAAAATGACCTTTATTTGTATAGCACCCTCTTAGGCCTGATTTATGCTTCTCCGTCTGCGTCAGTGCGGAGACACGCAACGCCATTATCCGTCCTTGCGTAGGGCTCCGTCAGGCACGCAAGTACGTACGGAGTCGAGCCCACTTTTTTAAACATCCGTCGAACGAGACGGATTACGCAAGCTTGTGATTGGTCAGGACGCCGCTGTTGTTTACAGCGCCGCCATGGCAAAGAGAGCCGAGGATAACTAGCGGCAGACACGGAGAAGCTTGAAGAATACCTCGAGAAAAAATTAAAAATATGAACGTTTAATTCTCCCGTGACTGGAGGAGTGAAAAGATGCACAGCAAGCGTTTTATTTGTGGACGGAAATGACAGGAAACGTGGGTTTAGAGGTGGGGAGCGCATGGAGAGGTGGGAGAATGAGAGACAAATACGTCCGTGTTAAAAGTCTCTTATATACACAAAAAACACAATATAAACACACGATCTTGGACCGAGACATGACAGGATACCACAGAACAGCGCTACGCCCTCTGCTGTCCTGCCGGGGAATTGCTTTGCAACACTCTCCAGGAGACGGAGAAGTAGGAGAGCAAAACGCTTCCGTCAATCCGTGCGTGTCTGTCCCTTGCGGAGCTGACGGAGAAGCATAAACCAGGCTTAGGGTTCTACAACCCCCCCCCCCCCCCCCCCCCCCCCAAGGCGCTTCACAACACAATCAGTCATTCACCCATTCACACACACATTCACACACTGGTGGGGATGAGCTACGATGTAGCTACAGCTGCCCTGGGACACACTGACAGAGGCGAGGCTGCCGAGCACCAGCGTCACCGGTCTCTCCGACCACCACCAGCAGGCAACGTGGGTTACGTGTCTTGCCCAAGGACACAACAGCAGAATTCTCTGGTCGGAGCTGGGATCGAACCTGCAACCTTTTGATTACTGGCCAACCTGCTCTACCTCCCACCTCCTGTCCCCAGTCTAGTAAAGGCTCATTACCTCTTCATCGTGGTCTTGAGCCCAGCGGATCTTTTCCAGCAGATCTCCCAGGTCTGCTTTAACAGGGATGTAATGTTCCCACGGTCGCAGCTGGTGGTAGAAATGCTCATAGTATCCAGAATCCTGCTTCAGGACCACACTGTCTCCAGCCAGCAGGTACGGCAGACGGTACGCCGCTACAGTACCATCAATGTTTATTTGGTACTTGTACTGGAAGTAGACAAAGAATGGAAAATTAGGATTTCCTGTGTTTACAGACTTTGATGCTGTTCCTCCTAGCAAAGAAACGTCTTTTCTTGAGTTTAGTGTTGCTGGTGCAAAGCAGAGATGAGTATTATGTTACAGTGAGCCCCGCAGAGTAGGAAAATGTTATGTTTTCACAGAGTATTAAAAAATAACCACCTTGAAACAATCTCACCTTAAAAAAGTCAAAAAAGGAGACGTGTTTGACCATCGGCCCATAGAGGCTCTCATCGTGTTTGAAGAAGAAGAAGTTGGTAAACGCAGCATCTATCGTGTCGGGGTGTGCCCTGGAAAGCTTGACCAGCTCCAGACGCTCCTGACGACTGTCCCGCCCCCTCCAGAAGGCTGTGGCGTTCTTCTCCGACCACGGCGGCCCCGTGTTGGCCTGGACGGACATCATGTCCAAACTCACTCTGTTCATCGCAAAAACAAACAAACAAACAAAAAAAAAAGACGTTTACGTGTTAGGAGACTGGTATATTTTTGGAAATCTGTGTTGAAAAGTGATTCTAGAGTCTCGTGTTCCAATGGGAACAGCTTCAGCTAGCCGGTCATTGTGACCTGCTGCGTTCCCGTGTGAGAATAACACTTTTCTTTAAGCTCGTAAATTAAAACAGAGACCTGTAGGAAAACAGCTGTAATGTGATAATGATACTTCTTTGTATAATCTGCAGAGAAACAAGTGAGAAAAATAGATTTTGGGGGTTTATTTTAATACAGAAATACTTTTTTTTAACCGTTTTCTTATCGAATAGTTCCAAAGTGCACAAGTTCATATGCAGAAAATGACTGACTGTAAAAAAAAAAAAATAATAATAAAAAAAATATATAACTTTTGAAGTTTTGAATGATTTAAACTGAATTCTACTCTTGTGCTCAGCAATACTTAAGAAAAAAGTCCTCTTGAGTAATGGATGCTGACACCTGCCTCCCCATGGTCTCAAGAACGGACTCTGTCAGGTCATAAGTGGGCATGACGATGTCTCTGGTGTTGTTGGAGCCACACCAGGAGAAGATAGGATGGAGCTTCTCTGTGGGTTTCCTCTTCTCCAGTGGCCAGTCACCCAGGTTCACAAAGAACTCCAAGTCAGGGAGCCACACCTAACGCCACAAAAAGAAACGGTCAGGTTCTGCACTGCTGTGAGAATTTGAACCTTAAAGTGACTGAGTGTATTTTTCCAGGCGATGGGGGCAGTAGATACCAGAATTGTTGCAACATCTGTTGTGTTGCGGTAAGACCTTACCAACAGATGCCCATCAGGGTCAAAAACCTCTGGGGAGTGCAAACTTCAGCAAAATCACAAGCACATCAGGCTCCCTTTCATCAGTGGCAATGAGTAAAGACGTAAATGTTTAAAACAACAGCGCTTATGAAGGGTTAAAGTTTAGTATCTGCTTGTTACTAATCAGTAAATGCATTTTGTCCTCATGGGCTCCCGTAGAAGCAAACATGGCGTCTAATATAGAGTCATCCAGAGACTTAGACCCGCTCCCATACATTTTTTGACCTGATTTTTATGGTTATACGTTACAAAGCTGCCAATACTTTTCAACAACTGGGCATCATTTGATTCATTTCAACCACATTTTGATGGATATTTCTAGAGACTAACAACAAAAACTCCACATTGTTCCTTTAAAGTAACTTACAAATGCTTACATAACACAATCTGACTCTGTTCTACGAGATAAAGGAGGTAATCTTTCATAGTTGCCTCCCCTGGCTTCTACAGCAAAAATGAATCATTTATGAGCCTAAAGGAAGTCATGCCCATCTACTTCCAGTCCATGGGTCCTCCAGTCTAGTGAACTAGACCAAATTCTTGCTTTGCAAAGTTTGGTCTAGGCACGCTCCATTGGAACCTCCGCAGCTCCTACCAGGACTCTGGCTAGCCAATCACAGCTCTCTAGAGGGGTTTCAAACACATAAAGAGCTGGGATTGGTCCATAATGGTGGGCCAATCATAGTGCTCTATCTGCTTAGTGAACAAATCACAGAGCTGTATCCGCTTTGTGGGCCAATCAGGGCACTCTATATGCCTGGTGGGTGGGATGATGCAGCAGAGTGAAACAAGAGTATGTCACATTCATTGTCCAGTGGAATGCGGAGATCATTTGAAAGACAACGGTAGAACCCGCCCCACAACCGAGAGCCGTCAATGGAGCATGGCCAGACTAAATAATACATTTATTTAGTCTGGCTTGCCAGGCTATGGGTCCCCTATTGCCCCCCCCCCAATTAAAAATGATTACATATACACATGCATGCAGGAGAATCATTACTTCGTACAGGGAACTGAATGTGTGTGTGAATGAGTGTAACAGTGTGATCCACAAGAGCAGCAGTCAGTTATAATCTGGAGAAGTTTAGATCTAAAGGTTGTAAAAGATGTCAAAGTTGCACGTTTAAGGGTGTTTTCAATCAATCAATCAATCAACTGGACTTTATTGTCACTTCAGCCATATACGGTTTGTACACAGTGAGGCGAAACAACGTTCCTCCAGGACCTACATGCAACATAAATTTACAACATAAAATAACAGGGAACTCACTAAACTATGTAATTAAGGACAGAACAGACTGACCTAATATGACATGTCCTCTCTAAGTAGGTAGTGGTGAAGGAACAGTAAACATGCAAAAATAAAGCATTAACAGGTTAATATATGAGTCCAGCCTCCATGCTTTGAGGTAGTTGAGTTGAGCTTAGTGATAGAGTGTGTGTGTGTGTGCGTGTGTGTGCGTGTTTGTGTGGGTGCGTGTGTGTGTGTGTGCTCATGCGCGCGTTTATCAGTCCAGTCCCTTTTTGTTGAGGAGACGAATGGCTTGTGGAAAGAAGCTGTTGCACAGTCTGGATGTGTGTGCCCGAATGCTTCGGTACCTTCTTCCAGATGGCAGGAGTGTGAAGAGTGTGTGAAAGGGGTGTGACCAATCAGCCACAATGCTGGTGGCTTTGCGGATGCAGCGTGTGGTGTAGATGTCCTTAACTGAGGGGAGAGAGACTCCGATGATCTTCTCTGCTGTTCCCACTATCCGCTGTAGGGTCTTGCGGTCAGATATTGCACAGTTCCCAAACCAGGCAGTGATACAGCTGCTCAGGATGCTCTCAATAGTTCCTCTATAGAAGGTGGTCAGGATCAGTGGTGGAAGCTGGGCCCTTCTCAGTCTTCTCAGAAAGAAGAGACGCTGTTGTAAGTTGTTCCAGTCACACTGCTGCAAAGCGGAAGGATTTGCGGCCAAAGACTTTAGAGGTGTTGGGGATGATGAGCTGAATATATTCACTAGACCTAGTGTGATGTTTATTATGGGCGAGGTCATGGACGTAATTTTCACTTTAGAAGTGGGGGGGACACGGGGGGGGGGGGGGGTCTTTACAGTATGTTCTAATGGGAAACAGGCTTCAACACAAACGGTTGTTTTCTGCTTGGTCCTAGAGCTCAACCAGTGTCAATTTAATATAGCATAATATTGTTTTTGGATGGTAAAAAGTGCAGGGGTCAAAACTTGACTTTGGAAAAAGTGGGGGGGACATGCCCCCCTGTCCCCCCCACTATTACGTCCATGGGCGAGGTGAAGAAGCGAGGACAGATAGAGAGGTGTCTTGCCTAGAATCGTCTTGTAGACAAAAAGACGCCAGTGATGGACTCTCCAGGTGTGAAGGGAGGGCCAGCCCACCAGTTTATAGAGATCACAGGGGTGAGTGTGGAGGGGCATTAGTGACAAAACGGATGCCTGAGTGATAAAGAATGTCCAGATTTTTGAGGGCAGAGCATGAAGCCATTTTGTAGATGATGTCACCGTAGTCCAGAATTGGTAGTATTGTCATTTTAATGGGTTTGGCAGCATGCGTGAACGAAGCTTTGTTATGAAAAAGAGAAGCTAATCTTGCTTTGACTTTTGTTTGCAGATTGTTGATATGAGTGGTGAAAGACCACGAGGAACCCGGTCACACATGCCTGTAAATGTTAAAGACACATTTGGACGCTTGTTTTCGACAGATAGCAAGAATTTACTTTGGGGGTTTTTGTGACAACATTTAGTGGAGTCCAGCTGCTCGTCTCAACAAATCATCAAAGCAGACAAGCAGCACAAGGAGCAGGAAAACGGCTAAGTTTAGCGAGTTTCACGTCTTTCTTCCAGGATGAAAGACGAAGCATTAAACACGGAGAAAGCTGCTATTAATCTGGCCATGTGGTGTGTAGCATACGCTGGGGGACAAAAGATTCTGCTGCGACATCATAAATGCGACGCCTGATTTGTAGTCACTGTTATTACAAATGTTACAAGAAAATACATTTTGATTTATTGTACAGACATACGTGATTATTTCTTATTTAAACTGAAATACAACATTTGTGTGATTCAGGGCACTCCTTCAGTTTTTTGGGGTCAGGTGACCCGTTCGCTGATTGGCAGGGGAGTGGAGTATCCATAAGACGTAGCTGTCAATCAACGATAACGCAACCCAGTTCCTGGCACGCACCATGGAGTGACTCAACTGACGCACCGCCACATCAGCCTAGCTTGAATTTGCTCTGTGAAACTTTCCTTTGCTTGAAATAAAGCAAAAAAAAAAAAAAAAAAAAAAAGAAAAAGAAAAGAACAACCTAGCTTAAATGCTAACTCGACCTCCACCGAATTCATGTCAGAGTGTACACCTGAAGCTAAATGTGGAAGAGGAGGGAGGTGAACAAATAGGGATTCATCTTTTGTGTGTTGGAGCTAAGTGATTAGCTTACATCAGACTAGCCTAAAGCCCGAGTTACGCTTCTCCGTCTGCGTGTCCGTGCGTGTCCGTCCCTTGCGGAGCTGATGAAGAAGCATGAATCAGGCTAATGTAGCATTAGCAGTGGTGTGCTAGCATCATGAACCCAGACAGTTTTAGACATTTCATGGCTGCATGGTGGCGCAGTCGTTAGCACTGTTGCCTCGCAGCACGAAGGTTGCAGGTTCGAAACTCGGCTGCAGCCTTTCAGCGTGGAGCTGCGTGTTCTCCCCATGCGTGCGTGGGTTTCCTCCGGGTACTCCGGTTTCCCCACAGATCACAACATGCCCTATAGGTTATAAATTGTAAGTCGCTTTGGACAAAAGCGTCTGCCAAATAAATAAACATAAACATAAACATTTCCCTGCTTGAACACTGCAGATTTGACAAAAACTAATGTTTAGCAGCTGTGTCTGAGCAGGAACATTTAACCCCAACCTGGACATACATGGTTGTATGCGTGCGCAGCATCAGGCGTGGCTTTCAGGCACTTCCAGAAAGGAAAGGGGAGCAAGGGTGGGATTTAAAGGCTGTTCAAATTTAAAATCTCCTCCTCCACTCCTTGATGTCGTCACGCCATGATCCCCAGCTTTAATGCTTTATTAAAAACCAATATAGAACAAAAAAAGAATATTGCATATTTGTGTACTCCGTGTTTTTGTTTCCACGTCAGCGCTCACCTTCCTTGTGATCGACAACAGAATAGCATCCATGAAGATTCTAAAACCAACATGCTCTCCGTACGTTTTCACATAAACCTGAAGAGAAGGAGAATAAAGACCCGTAAAAAAATGATCTTTTATCAAAAAGACGTTTTATCTGCTGCATCATGTGACACTGGGCCTGGTGAAGCAGCCAACACCATCATCTACAGCTCCTCCATCTTTGATTTCAGCACGGCACAGAGGCAAATTCTCACTTTTTGTGTCTCGTTGGATATTTCATTTAAAAGAAATCTGCTTACTGCAGGGGGGTTTTACCCGGTAACTGACTCGGCTACAAATTAGTGTGACACAAAAAAAGACAATTTTCAATGTTTTGTACCATGATTCCTACATTCTAATGGATCTTACTGTTTAACAAACGACTGTGACATTTTAGAATAGAAATAAGTACTAAATGTTGATTTGTTTTACATGTATAAAAGCTTTTTTCTTCAGTTTGCAAATCATGAGGAGGATTTTTGACTGCCTGAAATGAAATAAAACCATACTACTAAGATAAACGTACCTTGTTGTTCTTGATCGTGTAGTGGCAGAGGCTTTGGCGCTCTCCAAAGCGCTTCGGGATCTCTTGTGCATTGAGATACGGGTCCACAGAGGGGTAAAGGGACAGGTCCCTGTTAACCTGGGTAAAGGACTGAGGACAGTGCATGTCCGCCTCCCAATCAGAACCACTCAGCTGAGGACAGTTGCAACCCTCGTGATAGACATGACCTGCAGAGAGAAAGCGTAATCAGACTAGGGTTGTCACGGTAACCGGTGTAGCGGTAGACCCCGGTAAAAAAAGTTGACAATAATAATAACCGTCTTGTTTAAAAAAAAAAAACCATATTATCTTGGTGGGTTTACCGTGGCTGCGGTGTAGGCGCGGTGACCCTTACCAGCCACCGTATCATCTGCTGAAGTTGCCGGCGGCACATGCGCGCTTTGTTGTTTACAACCAAAACTTTCTTGAAGCTAAAGCTGAAATAATGGCGAAAGGAGGAGACGGCAGCGCTCAGGAGGACATTTTTTATCCCTCAAAGGAGACAAAGTCAGAAGTACGGGCATATTTTGGATATTTGAAGAATGCCGAGGGACAGTTGATAGAAGACGGCTATCCTGTTTGCAGCACGTGCAGAAAAAGTGTCTGTGAAAGGCAGCAACGCTTCAAATCTCATGACACATCTGCGTGACCATCACCCACAACTCTACAGTCAACGCAAGGCAAGCTAACGTTAGCGTTTTAGCTAAAATGCGTGATCCGAGGATTTGGGTCGAGGGAGAATGCAACGAGTCGCTATATAAATCAGCCGCAGCGCCGCTACCTGCATATAAACCGTGTCGCGGACACCGCCATGTTGAAATGACGCTATGCATTACGGGGCTCCCAGGGGCAGATAAGAGTTGGTCTCTCTCCGAGAATAATTATGAATTTAACAATGATTACTGCCTGATGACATTTTCCCACATCTGCAAAGCTCACTGGAAGGACACAAACCGAGGACAACATTTTCCTGATATAGGGTTTATTACTCAAGTAAGGGTAAAAAAGTATCTGATTAGAAGGCTACTTGAGTACTGAGTATCATCTGATCTAATATTTTTAAAATGATGACATCAAACAGACATAAAATAAGAAGTTATGGGCAAATATTGGTATTTTAAAGACTAAAGGGAAAAATGTAAACAAATAAACAACATAATTACAAAATAACACATTTTAGGCAAAATTTAGACACAAACTGAGGACAATATTTCCTAACATACAGGGTTTATTTAATTGTGTGAAAATGTAGCACGTTTAAAAAAAATACTGCGATAATACCGAAAACCGTGGTAATTTTGGTCACAATAACCGTGAGGTTAAATTTTCACACAGTGACAACCCTAAACCTGCAGATAAAAAAACAAGATTTTACCTTTGAGGATATACGGTGACTTTGCGACATGCCTGTCCTTGAGCAGAACGTGGATGTGCAGGTCGGCGTAGGTGGCGTACATTCTGTAGCGAACCAGGAAAGACCCATCTCGACGATCCAGGACTTGAATCCAGATCCTGGTAAAGTGTTCCGTTGGAGACACAATCTTCACTTGAAAGACCTTGTCACCAGGCGATGTTGTGAAACTTTGAGAGTCAGAAAACAAAGACGAGGCGTGTAAAGTTTTTGCATGATTAAGAGAAACAAGAAATGTCCACACAGGAAAACCTTCGTCTTCGAAGTTTCGTCTCTAAAATCTGACTTTCGAATTTTCCATCATTCATCTTGAGGCCAGGAAAAGCAGAAACCGGACATCCATTGTTATTAACAATAACAAATTATCTATTAAAGTTGTTGTTCATGTGATCTCGTGGCTTTTGAGTGCCGGCATGATGTCAGGTCTCCTCTGTAAAAGATGGCAACAATGGCACGGCATTTTCTGCAGCAGGGACAATTAAAGTGAAGTAACTAAAACCCCAAAAAGAGTGAAACTGATCCGACTAAACAAAGAATCCACCCAGAATATGATGCCCTCAGTGGCCTCTGTCAGAGAAAATAGATTATCTGATGATGCTTAACTTCTGTGTTTGGGGTCAAAGCTGTTATTTTCATATATCAGTTTAAATTTTCACCAAACAACATAAATCTGGGGGTAACTGCACACATACAATAACATCAGGACCAGAGGGCTACTTTTATTCCTTCTACCGTTACTAACACCATCAACAGCAATAATGTGATTTTCTACAAAATTGCATGTAAGATTTTGTAATATCATACTTTTGAATCACAAACTCTGATCCATTCTTTATTTCAGTTGAAAATGGACCAGTTGTAAAAGTATAACTTTGTGTTAACTTATGATTATGTAAATAATAATAATAATAATAATAATAATAATAATAATAATAATAATAATAATAATAATAATGATAATAATAATATCAGGCAAACTTACTTTTTCCCCAAGCTGTCCGCTGCCTGTATGTAGAAGAACCGAGCAGGGAGGACGATGTTCGTCTCCAGGCCTGGCCCCCACACCAAAGTTTTGTCTGCACTGAGTTCCGATCCGTCTCGAGCCCAGACCAGGTCCAGTCCAAACACCCCCAGGCACAAAACCAGCAGCAAAACCAGCGCTGACATCGCCATCTTCTCGTCTCCTTTCTAAAGGAGGTCTTGTCCGCACGCAAGTGCGCTGCTGTCCGCTGAGGTTCAAAATCTGAGAAGATCAGCACGAATATGCCGGTTTCATGTTTGTTACGTCCACACGCTGCAGCGGCGCCATTGTAAGCGTTTAAAATTGGTTCAGGGTTTGTTCATGTTTTTAGTCTTTCCGAGTTTCCAGCAGAGTCGGTAAGAAAATTCCTCTAGGAACCTTTTTTTCCTCGCAGTCTCGGCAAAATTCAAGAATCTGCGGAATTAACGAGGAGGGCGGGTTTAGAACGCCCGGTGAAGGAAACCCATTGACTGTTGTTCAGTCTTAGTGAGCTGTAATTGGCCAGATGACCAAAGTAAAAATGTGATTGGGTAGACATGCGGAAGTGAATGGATTTTGCAGTTTTCAGGTGTTGTGCCGAAAAGAGCATCCCTGCCGATATGTGCATCCCCGTCGAAACAACCACCGAGATTAACGATTAGAATTATGAGCGACTCAGCTATTTTTTATTAGATTGAGAATGTGACATGTTTCTAATCTGCGTTTTTCTTGGAAATTTCTAGTTGAACGTTTTGTTTTTGACTAGAATGTGATGGTAATTGTAAGTCTCCGAGTCGGTTTTAGTACTTGTGTTTATTTATTTATTTATTTATTTTCTCCTCCTTGAACCGTCACCTTATCGTGGTGGAGGAGTTTGAGTGCCCTAATGATCCTAGGAGCTATGTTGTCTGGGGCACTTAGTGCCCCTGGTAGGGTCTCCCATGACAAATTGGTCTTAGGTGAAGGGTGAGACAAAGAACGGTTCGAAGGATCTTTCATGGAGGTTAAAACGAAGAGTCGGAGTACCCGGCCCGGAGGGTTACCGGGGTCCCACCCTGGAGCCAGGCCTGGGGTTGGGGCCCGTGAGCGAGCGCCTGGTGGCCGGGCTTTCGCCCATGGGGCCCGGCCGGGCCCAGCCCGAACCGGATACATGGGCTCGTCCAACTGTGGACCCACCACCCGCAGGAGGAACATGAAGGGTCCGGTGCAATGCGAATCGGGGGGCAGACCAAGGCGGGAGCCTTGGCGGTCCAATCCCCGGACAAGAAAACTAGTTTTTGGGACATGGAACGTCACCTCGCTGGCGGGGAAGGAGCCGGAGCTTGTGGCAGAGGTTGAGCGGTACCGGCTAGATATAGTCAGACTCACCTCGACACATTGCATTGGCTCTGGAACCCGAGACCTGGAGAGGGGTTGGACACTCTACTTTGCTGGAGTTGCTCCGGGTGAGAGGCGGAGGGCTGGGGTTGGCTTTTTGTTAGCCCCGAGACTCTCTGCCTGTGTGTTGGGGTTTACCCCGGGGGACAAGAGGGTAGCTTCCTTGCGCCTTCGGGTCGGGGAACGGGTCCTGACTGTTGTTTGTGCTTATGGGCCAAATATCAGTTCAGAGTACCCACCCTTTTTGGAGTCCCTGGGACGAGTGCTAGATAGTGCTCCATCAGGGGACTCCATTGTCCTGCTGGGGGACTTCAATGCTCACGTGGGCAATGACAGCTTGACCTGGAGGGGTGTGATTGGGAGGAACGGCCCACCTAATCTGAACTCGAGCGGTGTTTTGTTATTGGACTTCTGTGCAAGCCGCAGTTTGGCCATAACGAACACCATGTTCGAACATAAGGAGGCCCACCGGTACACTTGGTACCAGGGCAGCCTAGGTCACAGGTCGATGATAGATTTTGTAGTCGTATCATCTGACCTGCGGCCGTATGTTTTGGACACCCGAGTGAAGAGAGGGGCGGAGCTGTCAACTGATCACCACCTGGTGGTGAGTTGGATCAGATGGCAAGGGAACATGCCGCGTAGACCTGGCAGACCCAAACGCATAGTGAGGGTCTGCTGGGAACGCCTGGCAGAAGAACCTGTCAAGACGGTCTTCAACTCCCACCTCCGGCAGAGCTTTGACCACGTCCCGAGAGCAGTGGGGGACATTGAGTCCGAGTGGGCCTTGTTCCACTCTGCGATTGTCGAGGCGGCTGTTGCTAGCTGTGGTCGTAAGGTGGCCGGTGCCAGTCGTGGTGGCAACCCCCGTACCCGCTGGTGGACACCAGAGGTTCGGGGAGCCGTCAGGCTGAAGAAGGAGGCCTACAGGGCGTGGCTGGTCTGTGGGTCTCCGGAGGCAGCAGACAGGTACCGGATAGCCAAGCGGGGTGCAGCAGTGGCAGTTGCCGAGGCAAAATCTCGGGCGTGGGAGGAGTTTGGTGAGGCCATGGAGAAAGACTATCGATCGGCTCCAAAGAGGTTCTGGCAAACTGTCCGGCGCCTCAGGAGAGGAAGGCAGCAACTCGCTCACACTGTTTACAGTGGGGATGGGGAGCTGCTGACGTCAACTGAGGCTATAGTCGGACGGTGGAAGGAATACTTTGAGGAGCTCCTCAATCCCACCAATGCGCATTCCGAGGAGGAACCAGAGCTCGGAGGCCTGGGGATGGACTGTCCGATCTCGGGGGCAGAAGTTGCTGAGGTAGTCAAACAACTACACAGCGGCGGAGCCCCGGGGGCGGATGAGGTTCGTCCTGGGTATCTCAAGGCTATGGATGTTGTAGGGCTGTCATGGTTGACACGTCTCTACAACATTGCGTGGTCATCGGGGGCAGTTCCTAGGGAGTGGCAGACCGGGGTGGTGGTCCCCATCTTTAAGAAGGGTGACCTGAGGGTGTGTTCCAACTATAGGGGGATCACACTCCTCAGCCTCCCTGGAAAGGTCTACTCCAAGGTACTGGAGAGGAGGGTCCGATCGATAGTTGAATCTCAGATAGAGGAGGAGCAATGTGGTTTTCGTCCTGGCCAGGGAACTGTGGACCAGCTCTATACCCTTGCAAGGGTGATGGAGGGGGCATGGGAGTTTGCCCAACCAATCCACATGTGTTTTGTGGATTTGGAGAAGGCTTATGACCGTGTCCCCAGGGGCACCCTGTGGGGGACGCTCCAGGAGTATGGGGTGGGTGGCTTTCTGTTAAGGGCCATTCAGTCCCTTTACCAGAGGAGCGTGAGTTTGGTCCGCATAGCCGGTAGTAAGTCGGACCTGTTCCCAGTGAGGGTTGGACTCCGCCAGGGCTGCCCTTTGTCACCGGTTCTGTTCATCACTTTTATGGACAGAATTTCTAGACGCAGCCGTGGTGTGGAGTGTGTCGAGTTTGGTGGCAGGAGAATCTCGTCTCTGCTTTTTGCGGATGATGTGGTCCTCCTAGCTTCATCCAGCTCTGACCTTCAGCTCTTGCTGGGTAGGTTCGCGGCCGAGTGTGAAGCGGCTGGGATGAGGATCAGCACCTCCAAATCTGAGACCATGGTTCTCGACCGGGAAAGGGTGGCTTGCCAACTCCGGGTCGGGGGAGTGGTCCTACCTCAAGTGGAGGAGTTTAAGTATCTCGGGGTCTTGTTCACGAGTGAGGGTAGGAGGGATCGGGAGATCGACAGACGGATTGGTTCGGCGTCTGCAGTGATGCGGACGCTGAGCCGATCTGTCGTGGGGAAGAGGGAGCTGAGCCAGAAAGCCAGGCTCTCGATTTACCGGTCGATCTACGTCCCAATCCTCACCTATGGTCATGAGCTTTGGGTAATGACCGAAAGAACGAGATCGCGGATACAAGCGGCCGAAATGAGTTTCCTCCGTAGGGTGGCCGGGCTCAGCCTTAGAGATAGGGTGAGGAGCTCGGACATTCGGGAGGGACTCGGAGTAGAACCGCTGCTCCTCCGGATCGAAAGGAGCCAGTTGAGGTGGTTTGGGCATCTGGTCAGGATGCCTCCTGGACGCCTCCCCGGGGAGGTGTTTCGGGCATGTCCTGCCGGCAGAAGGCACCCGGGTCGACCCAGGGCACGTTGGAGAGGTTATATCTCCAATCTGGTCCGGGAACGCCTTGGGGTCCTGCCGGAGGAGCTGGTGGACAAGGCCGGGGAGAGGACGGCCTGGAGCTCCCTAGTTGGGATGCTGCCCAAGCGACCCGGACCCGGATAAGCGGAGGAAGATGACGACGACGACGTTTATTGTTTTTTATGCCTTCTTCAGCTATTTTGCTTCTGGTTTGCAGCAATGTGACTCATAATTACGAACCTTTGAAAGATTAGTTCCCATTACTTAAAATAATTCTAACCTTTTGAATTTGAATAATTTGTATAAGGCAAAATCATTTTAATTGTTTAAGATGTCAAAGCATTTATTGCATAGTGCCTGATTGTTTATTTTGTCGTGGTGTACCTAATTTGTAATCATCTAAGCTTTACCACAGATGTTTTACATTTTTGAAATTTGCCCCTTTTGTTTCAATCACAGAGTCATCAGTTCAGAAAATAATTGAAAATTGGAGGGTTAAATGTGTGAATGGATGTCAGTAAAAGGTGTTACACACTCCTAGCTGATTTCTTTCCCAACTTCAAAACGACAGAGAACATTTACAAGCCGAGATTACAGATTTTAGGCATTTCCATAATTTTGTGACCTTTTGACCTCTGGTGACCTATTTAGTCAACTAATTTGCACATTAACCACATAAACTGTAAAGTGGCTTAAGGACAAACATTGTAATTCACTTTCCTATGATAATCCAGTCAAGAGGAATGTCAATTTAGATTTCCCCTACCCTAAAACTGGCCATAGCAAAACTTAAAGCCACGCCCACAAAGAACGCCCCAAAAGAGGTATTGAGTCCCTATATTTTCAGTGGCAACATGAAAAATGTGAAAAAATACATAAAATCCTACAACATGCATGCATTTTCATCAGTTTTAGGGGTGGGGGTGCAAGGTGAGCCTACTCAGCCCATGGACTACTACACTAAGGGAAAGTAAATGGAAATTGACACACACCTGCTGTTATATATACGGTATAATGTTTTGACTTCAATTAAAATTACCATAAAATACATAAATACATTTGTATTACCTACATTTGCTAATATTCAGTTAACCATCAGTCTAAATACGTTGTTGAGAGCAATGTAACTGATAGCTTAACAAAAAATGTGAGATACTGTTATCAGTCTAATTTATAGAAGGCTTTTTACATTTTTAAAGTATCACTTTTTTTTTAATACAGCACATTTTAATAACTTATCTAACTACTTTCAATCAGTCTACCCTATAATACTCTAAAATTCATGCAGCTATTAATTGTAACATTGATCTTCTGAATTCAAGAAGTTTTCAATTCAAATTTGAATGAATGGGATGCCTTCGTTTTAAAAATACAGGAAACTTGATTGCATAATCGCACAAAAACCAAAGCCTGTAGCAGACCGATGTATATAACTTTACTTCAGGAAGCATCTTAAACAGCTCCTTATTCTCACCTTATTTACCTGGACAATGCTTGTAGCACCAAAAGACTCCAAGATATGTTTATTTAGCATCTCCCTCCTTTCCTCCTCTGACCACTTCATCATGACGTTTTCTAATTTTTTCATACTCTCCATTTTTTTATAGATGTTTGTGGTGTTACTGCAATAATTCTTTATTGTTAAACGTATATGATGCTGTTGGTAGCAATAAAGTAGCCCTACATGACTGTTTACGTTCTGCCGCATTCTCTGGTGAAACTGAGCTTCCAGCTGCAGCATATATAGAAGGCCATATTGTGCCTAGCATGCACCACGACTGGCAAAACTAGTAGTAGTTCAGGTGAAAAATAATTTGTTTTTGAAAAGCGTCCAGAAATTTAAGAACTCCACTATCGATATTAACTACTCATTTAATTACTCAAATATCGATACTTTAATGAGAGTATTGATTCCAAAACATAAATAGCTAGAATCTGAGTATCGATCCACACATCCCTACTGTTTAGAGTTTGGGCCAGTTGAGAACTATCGCACTGGTGCTGAGGAGGAGGCGTAGGGTGGATGGACCGATTGACATCGGCTGTGAGAAACAGCAGCATGTCTTCCAGTGAGCAAGCAGATTTGGGGACTTTGGGTTGGGTTCTCCGATCTCAGGAGCCGACACAGAGTTGTCAAAACCCCTCCATGGCAAGGCCCTGGGGGTGGATGAAATGCGCCTGGATTTCCTTACGGCTCTGGATGTTGTGGGACTGTGTTGGTTGACGCGGCTCAGCAACATTGCGTGGACATCAGTTCCACTGGACTGGCAGACTGTGGTGGTGATCCCCCTATTTAAAGAAGGGGACAGCAGGGTGCCAGTTACAGGGGGATCACACTTCTGAGCCTCCGTTGTAAGACCATTTCGAGGGCTCTGGGGGATATGGTCTGTCGCATTGTTAAACCTTGGATTCAGGAAGAGCAATGATGTTTTCATCCTGGCCGTGGAACACTGGACCAGCTCTACACCCTTGGTGGTGGTGGTGTGTGTGTGTGTGTGTGTGTGTGTGTGTGGGGGGGGGGGGGGGGGGGGGGGGGGTCCTGGAGGGTGCGTGGGAGTTCGCCCAACCAATCTACATGTATTTTGTGGATTTGGAGAAAGCGTTCAACTCTGTTCCTCGGGAGAGAGGGCTGTGGGGGGTACTCCAGGAGTACAGGGTACCAGGCCCCTTGATACAGGCTGTTAGGTTCCTGTGCAACTGGTGTCAAACCTTGGTCCGCATTGCCATCAGTAAGTCGGGGTCATTTCAGGTCAGAGTTGGACTCCGCCAACGCTTCCCTTGTCACCAGTTCTGCTCATTTATGGACAGGATATCTAGGTGCAGCCAAGGTGGTGAGGGGATCTATTTTGGGGGCCTAAGGATTGGCTCTCTTTTTTTTGCAGATTATGTGGTCTTGTTGGAATCATCGGACCATGATCTCCAGTTTCGCCGGAGCAGATTGCAGCTGAAATGAGAATCAGCTCCTCTAAATCTTACACCATGGTCTTGAATTGAAAATGATAGAATGCCTTCTCCAAATCAGGGACAAGGTCCTGTGGACTTGTGCAGCATCTGCAGTGAAGTGGGCGTTGTACCAGTCTGTCGTGGTAAAGAGAGAGCTGAGCTGTCATTCATAGGTCAATTTATTTTCCAACCCTCACCTAGAGTAACACGCTTTGGGTAGTGATCAAAAGAGTGAGATCATAAATACAAGCGACCAGAATGAGTTTTCTCTGCAGGGTGTCTGGGCTCTTCCTTAGAGATAGGGTGAGAAGCTTGGTCATCTGGGAGAGGCTTGGAGTAAACCCGCTGCTCCTCCCCATTGAGAGGAACCAGTTAAGTTGGCTCGGACATTTGGTTAGGATGCCTCCTGGACGCCTCCCTGATGTAGTTTTACGGGCATGTCTACCCAGGAGGAGACCTAAAGGAAGACCCAGGAGATGCTGAACGGACTATGTTTCTCGGCTGTCCAAGGAACACCTCGGGATTCCCCCGAAGAAGCTGGCCCAAGTGGCTGGGGAGAGGCCAGTCTGGGCCTCTCTGCTTAAGGTACTGTCACTGCAACCCAAACCCGGATAAGCAGACAATAATAGATAAATGGATTTTATTATAAGTTAGCTTATGCAATAAACTGAAAATGACAGTTTTAACAACAGAGTTACTATTTAAAGCTTTACTTCTGTTTAACTAAATGCCAGCAGCTGGTTGTGGTGAAGGGCAGGCCAGTGAAACCAAACTTTCCAATGTTTACATCAATCAATGTTTATTTCAGTTTGCTTTTGCATCAACATATTAAGACATTTTTCATCAAGGAATTTCTATTACACTAGAATATATCAAGTAGAACAAAAAGTGGTAGAGTCAGCTGAAATTAGACAAGATTTCTCGCCGTTATTAAGTCAAATCAAATCAATGCTTTTCCAGCATACTACAGTGTGAAGAACTACCGTACATAGTTCCAGTGATTTAGACAGAGCAATACCAGATAGTACAGTACCAGCAGTAACAGGTACAACATATACAGAAAATATCCCAAGTCTCTTTTTTATTTTATTTTTTTACATTTTAACCCAAAGTTAAACTGTACAGTTAATATAAAAACCAAAAACATAGAAACCAAAACAACAGACTAACAAAACACCCTGTAAGCAGAAGTTTGAAGTTTTTCTTTTTGCATTTTTTTACAACATTTTTTTTGGTAAATTTTATTTTAGTTTTATTTTTTGTGTGTTTTCTCTGCCACTGAAAGAACTGCACTGAACACAAATCTCACTGACGGTACAGAGATAGAAGAGAAATGTATTGTTAATATTCTGACATAATTAAAGCTTTGAATCCAATTATGTGTAGCTATTTGAAACACACACACAGCTCGGCTTTGAGATTTCAGGTCGACTATGTTTAAGTACACACGAAAGAAGGCCGTTTAATTCTAAGGAATGTCTCAGCAGCCCGACATGTGATGATGGACTTTTTAAATTTTATTTTGGGGTATGTCAGGTGCGTATGAGAGAGTCACGTACAAGACCAAGGCGCTTCACTTCATACTGGATGGGCTGATGCTCATGTGCATAAAGAACCAATGTGTGAGAGATGACAGTCCTTTTTTCCAGACATGTTTAAAATACAGACAGCTGCACAAGTACAAAACGCCCTCCTCAGTCTGTCACGTGGCTACCCACCGACTTACAACACAATCACAACTTGATGCACAGCCATGTATCATGAAACGTTTTTTCAAAAACACACACGCCTTCATTTTGAAGACCATCAAATATAAAGACTCTGACACAAAGATATAGTCAGAACAATATTGAGAAGGAAAAAAACATTTTTGCTTCAAGTTGAAATTGCTGTGGACGTTTTACGCACGTGCACAGCTTCTTTACCAACTTGATTTCTGAACATCACCACAGATAATGTTACTTTCCCTGAACCACTTAGTGAAAAGAAAACAACTCACGGGAGATCTGGGAGCGAGGACAGTGACGCAACTCCAGTCATCATGTGTTGACCTTCACCGTGGGTCGAGGACTACTGGGGTTCAACACTGGGTTTGCACAATGGTGCATTGAGCAAAAGTGGCAAATATAGTTGTTTAGTTTTAAATGACTTAGCAAATAAAAAAAAGTCGTCTCACGAAATGTTTACAATGGACAAAAAGCAGCTACGGACATAAATGGAACACATTTCTTTTTTACTGAAGTAAACGAGTGATGCCCTTTGTGTTATACCTCATTTCTTTCACCGTGCTTCCCACATATTAGCTCTTTAGTAAGTTTGCAGTGGAGATTCAGTCGTCTCGATTTCTATGGCACATGAATTGTATACAGGTTTGTACAACAGACTCAAACATGATCCAGTATACACATTCTGCGTTTGTCTCACACCGGGTCGCAGTCTTCACATAGATGATGAGATATTCCTCATCACCGCGCTTGCAAGCAGCAGCTGAAAAATGCATGTTGTTCAGTAGACTTTGCAGAGTTAAGTGGCATCACTACAGGTTTTCATTTGTATTGTGCAGCCCTAACTGGTGGAGGAACAAACTTTGAGTATAACAGTATTCTCTGTGTGTAGATATTAATCATGTGCATTTATATATTGTCAAGTACTGCTTGCTGAGACCAAATAAAATAAAATAAATAAATAAATAAACAAAAATAAATTAAAATAAAGGGAAATTAACAGGTTTTGGCTTAATAGCAATGCAGGTATACATTTCCCTTTTTATATATATAGTCTTTTTGCCAGTATCTCAAAAAAATAGAACGCTTTTCATAAGTTTCTGTAGTTGACTTACATTATAAATATTTTTTCATTTCAAATCTCCTGTTAAAGTAGCATGCTGCTTTTTAATATGGCAGTTGTATATTTTTAATACTCATCCATTGTGGTTTCATGCATTTCTTGATGGTTTCTTAACTTGTGAGTATCTACACAGCAAGGTCCAGAAAATCCAACCACTCCGACTAACACACACACACACACACACACACACACACACACACACACACACACACACGCACGCACGCACGCACGCACGCACGCACGCACGTACGCACGCACGCACGCACGCACACACACACACACACACACACACACACACACAAACACAAATGTCAGATGTTCCTCGTTCCCTCTTTAGACCTGTTAACCTTTCACAACTCACATCACTGCCAGTCCAGACGAGGAACAAGCCCGTCTTCAACGTGACAGCGCCGCACACACAGCCAGTCCCAGAAGGCGTAAAGACAAAGTCACGCTTGTGTCTCCTCTAATTACTTTCATTTTTAAAGTGAAAGTCCGGTTGCAGCATTAATTTCCAAGCAGGTAGCCTCCTTCATCTGTCCCGCTATTAGAACTGGTACCACTTCTTGTCCTTGCACTTCAACATCAGCTATAAAAGGACAAAGTCAAGTTGGAAATGTAAGAGGATAAACAGTAAAAGGCAGAGAAAGCAAATGCAAACATGAATGATACATCCATTAGCCTGGTGAACTAGATCAAATATTTGCTTTGCAAAGTTTGGTCTCGGAACGCTTCACTGGAACTTCAGCAGCCCCAAGCAGCATTCTGGCTGGCCAACCACAGTTCTCTATAGGGGTTTCAAACCGATAGAGCGCTGTGATTGGTCCACAATGGTGGATCTCTATCCGCTTTGTGGGCCAATCAGGACCCTCTATTCATCTGGTGGGCAGGATGAAGCAACGGTGTGGAATAAAATGGCGACACATCGTTTGAAACGGCTTTTACATCAATTTTGGACTTTTTGGACTTGGGTTTTATTAGAATCTGGAGCAGATAGATGTATTTAAGTCCTCTATTTTAAAAAAAGGGATGTATTTTTTGCCTTTTTCAACAGCAAACTGCATCATTTATTGACATCTCTTGCGGTGAGTACGTCACATTGTTCATTGTCCAGTAGCATGCAGAGAACCTGCCCCATGATCTGGTTTGCCAGGCTAAAAGTCCATAGTTGCAAGCAAAGGCACAACTAATCAGTTCTGAGAGATTCTGAGTATCGTTTTTCACCTCATGAGCATGCTTAGAGAAGGATTCTGCACTGGTCATCATCAGGGCTGTCCGCTCCTCCAGCTCTCCCAGCCTTTGGCCTCTCTCATCTAAAGCAATGCGAGCTCGTGCCAGCTCCCCAACCGCTCCCCCTGCTGCCATCTTCATGCCCTCCACCCCTCCCTGACCAGGGATGTGCTGTGCCAGACTTCGGGAAGCCTTCCCAGCGGCAGCCTCACCAACTGAAAACCACATCAGCATGAGAGGATAATACTTTATTTTTAAGTGTTTTCTGACAAAAACAGTCATATTCATCCATTATTTGCTTGTTTTTATTTAAATAATTTAAAATATTTTGGCAGGATTTAAATATTTATTCATTATTAGAAGAAAAAAACAACAAACAAGACTCACAGAGCTCCTCTCTGTCGAATGCATGGGCATTTCCTCCAAAGAAGCCCTTTAGAAACCCTCTGTTCTGGGCTTCTGGTGTTTCTATTGGGGTGAAGAGCTCTCCGAGCATTTCCTGCAACAAACGGAAATGAATGAAAATGAGAAAAAAGCAAATTCTCTAAAAATACATCAACCAAATCAGCAATCTTACACTAGATTGCAGTCACTGCTGCCAGTAGATGGCACTATTGTAGCATCATTTTACTGATCAGAGTGGAAAAACAACCCCAAACTCATTTAGATGCATGTGCACTCTAAATCTACATCAATATTTAAACTTCTTTACCACATTTGATGAGAGCAACATTTGCCTTCATCAAGGAAGTAAGCTACGATATTTACTGCTTCAGTACGTTTCTCAGGCCGAGGATGGATTTAGACATGACCACCGTGCTCACCTGCAGGTTGTCACACATCTCCTGGCTGTATGTGATTCTCTGAATCTCTGTGGGGGAACTGAGATACAGTGCCTGCCCCCCGTTGGTGAAACAGAATGTTCTTGCAATGCGCATGTCTGTCAGAGGCAGGTAGTTGACATCCATGAGCGGTCTTAAACTGGGCAAACTGGAAGCAGAATGACAAAAGTTAAAAACATGCTTGACATCTGGAAAGTGGTTTGAATATCATCAATAACAACCCCTGCATAAAAGCCAATTCATTTACAGATTTTCTTGATGCAAATATGCTTAGTCCTCATTGAGTATTTTGTAGTCACTGCATGAACACATTAAGTTATTAAAAGCAATACATTATTCATACTTGGAATTAGCTGTAAACAGGAGCCATGTTTCATACACTGATGCATCAGAGTAGCTGCTGCAAAAGGTCAAATATGCAATCAAGTAAGCCTCCTTTTCAAAGTTTGAATCGGACTATGCCATTGATTATTCAGCTTGATGGGATCCATGATTCTTTCGACACAAGGATGTGCGTTTAAAGAGGAACCTGGCAGTTTTGGCTTGCTTTTAGCACCCCCTAGTTTCTGTTTGTAGAACCAAAACTATCTTCTCGCTGTGCGTTTGCCTTTTTAACATCTTAATAACGGCTGGAATGTCTCAGCAGCCTTTCTTAGTGTCTACAGGAGTGATTCATCACAACAAATCAGCTGTGTTCATGATCTAAAACATGAAGGAAACATTTTTATGTCCAACAGAGCGACCGGCAACCAGAAGTTGCAAATGTGGTATTCTGTCCACACGGGGCAACAGGGGCTGGGCGGCCTTTCATTAACCATGTAAAGGGCAATTTTAGCACACATCGGCTCACAAAAATGATTAAAAAATATAGAAAAGTTGCAATGTATCCCTTTGAAGATAAACCTTAACCATATTTTTAATACATTTGCAGTGGCCTCTAGTAAGAATGAATGCCTTGTAAGTTGTACTCTTGGGAAAATGTTACGGTGCATCTGTTTCAGGAACTAGAAGTGAGCCAGATCAGAGTTAAGCTTCAGATGGCTTTGGACTCTTATTTTCGGATATTGGGACATCTCATCTAGGATTGGAAAACAGCAACACAACTCTACATCGTTCGCTTGGCAACATTGTTTTACCTCCACAAATAACACAAGCCTGCAGGAGTTCTACTGTGTGGTGGAGTTGCTAATGCTAACGATTAGCTTCTATTAGCCAAGAGGCGCCTGGCCTTGCGAGGCGATGTCTTGCGAGGCCAGGCGCCATGCTTACGAGGACACTGTCCTTCCTTGGTCAAAGAAAACTGTTAAATCTCTTCTTCCGGCTCTTGGAGAGTACAGACACTTTTTTCTCCTCTCCCGCCCTGCTCTTCCCAAGGCTTTTTGTCCTGTCTGCCTGTGCACTGCACATCTCTACATTTTTTCTGGAAACTAGAAATTATTAAACATGGATCTGGTCAGTTGGTCTCTCAATGCGATTGACAAAAATTTTTCAACAATGAGAACGGGAGAAGGGGCTCCTGGATGCCCCTCTGGGACAGAGCCAGCTAGGTGTATCATGGACTCCTGGAAACAGTGGAACTTGGTCTGCCTGTCTCAACTGTTGCAGAGGATTCTGAAGATGTCTGGATATTCGTCGTCTTGGCGTTGGGATTTCTGCTGTTTGGCCTGAGCGGTTACCCGGCATACCGGAAAATTAACGAGCTTTCGAGGAATATTGGCTCAATCCCGGAGCTCAGAGATGGAATGCATTGTGCTGTGAACTCACAAACTCATATAATTGTCAAGATGAGTCGTAAGCTTGGAACTTTGGCTGAGACCCAGGCTCTGGCACAGAAGGTTGATTCGATGAAGGATAGAGTTGACGGATCAGCACGGATTGGGATAGATTGATAATGCCATTATTGGATCTGGAGGGGTTGAAGATCGACAGAACTCTAAGACAGAGAGGAAATGATCTCTGCCTGTACCCAAAACAATTCTAGTTATCTGAATCTGGTGACCTTGAAGCCTGTGAAGCTGAAGTGAAAACTCCCCCTTTAGAAGAAATGTGGAATGCTACTGTCGCTATGGAAACCATTTCTCCCTATACCAGCCTGGGCGGGACTGTGACCGGTGAAGGCCGTGGAACCGTATCTAGGAGTCAAAGTGCTCTCTAACCCATTATCTCCCTCCCCTGCCCAAACGGAGGTGATGAGCGCTGCTCTTGCGGCTGCACTCTCTGAAGTGAGGACGGTCCCAACCTGCCTCCCCACCTAGTGGACACTTACATTGTGTATCGTCTGAAGTCTTTGTGCATATTTGTCCGAGGTGCTTTTTTGCATAGCAAAGCTATCCTCTCTGTTGAGGGTAACTCTGAAGTGCCTTTTTTCCCTCCCCCTGACTATCCTCATGTAAACCCTCTTGATCTATAACGGTAGCGCGACTCGTTTTGCGACCACAGTCACCTATTCTTTTTATGTGTCTATGTATGTATGTCTGATCTTGGAATCGTGTGCGCTGAAACAATTGAATTTCCCTCTAGGATTAAGTATTTTTGAATTGAATTTGAAATGGAACAGACTTGCATCACGTGACCGCGGCTTCCACGGCGATCACGTAACGTCACGTGACACGGGAGATAACGTTATATGTATTAGTTTCAATATAAACATATGATGAGCCTTTTAAATTGTGTATATATTTGTTAAATTAAATATATAAGTGCATTACTACCCTCTAGCCACCGAAGCGGCAACTAATAAGCAACTAACCAAACATAGATAACTTCTTTGGATCTAAAAAAATATTTTTAAATTAGTTGACTTACTTTCAAACGTTAAATTTGCCCCCGAAGTAGCTGCCGGCTTCTGATCCGCCACCCTTTGGAAAATACCGCGGCGTATTCTGGGTAATTTTTGACCGAGGCTAGGCAACAAGACACCTCCCGTATATCCTTGCTCAGCTAGCTAAACGGCTAACAAACGGAGAACACACGCCCCGGTAGAACATGAACATTGGAACGCGCCTTGGTGGCTCCTGATGACATATCTCCTAGGCAACTGAGTGGGGCCAAGACCAAGGCGAGGTTCCTTGGCATTGAGAAACACCCCTGCTCTGCCGTTTCCTGGATGCTAAAGCAACAACAGCCTTAGACAATGTGAGTCAAGATGGGTGAGTCCATGAATGTTAAGAGACAGTGTGACGTAGATCTGTCAGGACTTTCAAATCCTTGAGTTTCACCATTTCTTTTCTATCAAAAGTATTGGACAAAAAGCTGATTTTCACCTTCACTTTTTAATAGTACTGTTTTTTCAAACAGAGTTCATTAGCCTTATTTTCATTTAACGTGGTAAATACAGTATTGGATGCATGGAAGGTGATTTTGTCTGGGAACCATCTGGTGTTATTAACCGGCCCCTGCCGCAAGGAAAGTCAACCTTGTAAGTCTGCAGTTCTGTTATCACAACAAGCTCCCTATTGAAGTCCAGATGGAGTGTTTCTCTGAACCTGGGACAGTTTGCTGTCTGTGAAGGAGTGGGTGTGGTCATCCTTTTAGTGTGTGTGTGTTATGCCATATGTCATCTGTGAATAAAACCTTTTGATGGGTTTCGGCTCGTTGAGAGACTAAACCGACCTCCCTTGACTGGAATGTTACTTTCTTCTCTCCGGTTTTGCAAAATCTGATTATTGATTATTTGTGTTTATTGGTAAATGGTATTAATAACAATAATATCTCTAACCCCCTTGTGTGTTGTGGACTTTCTTTGAGGTACGCCTGGATTGAATAAATAAAAATACCCAACAAAAAGCTAATGCAGGAGGTAGCTACAGGAGAATATTTTCATGTTGAGTCTGAATGAAAACCTCAGTGTGTCCGATAATAATCAGATATATAAAAAAAAAATTCTGTGAAGTTTATCTTTGAGAGTAGATTAGAATATCTGAAGCCTTGTTAAAGTTTGCTTTGCATCATTTCATCTCAGTGACAGTATTCTCAGCAGTAATAAATAATCAGCCACAAAAATAGCACTTTGTTTTTGTTTCACTGGAAAATGACAAAAAACCCATCCACATGCAGAGCTGTGATGAGTTCTGATTGTACCTGAGAGTCATGACATGTCCGTTGGCACAGAAGCAGGCCAGGCACACGCTGTTGCACACAGATACCACGTCAGCTCGCAGCACAAAGGACGACTCTGTGATGTTGTGGACAAAGAGGCAAGCCTGCGAGGGCATCAAGAAGACTTTGGCCTGTCTCTCAGAGCACACAACAGCCAAATGTCCGTCTCCATTGGCATCCTGGGAGGATGATGGTGAAAAGTGGACCAGCTTGCGCCTCCGCGGTCGGTCCGGGTCCTCAGGGGCATTTAAGTCCCGCCAAACCTCGTATGGACTCTGAATGAGAGCTCCCATGCAATCCAGGAAAGCAAAGCGTAATATAGAGCCCTTCAGCATTTGGACAGCTCCTAGGAGAATTTGGGGAGAGTCAAGTGAATAGAAGAAAAATCATTTATGTAGTCAAAAGTCAAAAGTTTTAAAGCTAGAAAACAATTAAATCTAACACAGCTTTGGCTGCTAAACTACTGTATAATCAGTAGAAAGATTGTTTTGGCTAACTGATTTAAGAATCTAGGGAATTGTGTGTGATCTCAACTTAAACAAAATTATGAATAATGCAAGATGAGAGATGCATTTTGTGTTAAAATCTAAGAAACCTGCATCTCATCTACTATGGTCAGTAAAATAAATTCATAACTATTGAACATGCTTGCATTAAATTAAAGTTTAAAAGGACATGAAAAATGCTCCTTTTCTTTTGGTAAAACATTGCTTGGAACTGAATCTTTTACTTCCAATAATAAGCTCACGTACTTTAAGTCTCAGGAGAGCAAGTGTTCCTGTAGAGAGCCTGGAGTTTTTGGGACTATTGATGTTTTATTTCTACTTCAAAATACACATTATGGCTTTTGGATTAGGCGTGCTTGACTGGCTTCATTATTTTCTACTTATTAATGAGGCAATAAAAGTCTTTTGAGCACCTAAGCAGAAGAAATTATTTATGTAAAAACATGAGCATCAAACTCCTATTAAAATTTCTTTTGATCTAATTAAAACAAACGAAGTTTGGATGCATTCATGCAGAGTTAGTGGTAGGGATATTGGATTCTCAGGAAATTATTAGCACTTCTTTAAAGTTATTGGCCAGAAGTGAAATTCCTTTGAATGGCATGTGTAAACAGTATTAAAACCTCAGGTGAAAAAAGATTTTCATGGATAATCAGAAGTTTTTGACTGGCACGGCTAAAACTGAAACTAGCTTCCGGTCTAAACCCTGAGCAGCTGTGATGTTTCACGAGGAGGTCTGCTCACAAAGATATAGTAAACAGCCTCCGACTCCGAGGTTTTGGCGTTAGCGTTGGAGCAGAGAACAATGTGTCGTCAGTCAGATGTAGCTTCTGAAGCCTCTAAGTCAGTCAGATTTGTTTTTTTCTCACGGCAATGAGAATGGATACTGGATTAACGGAGAAGTTCGACTCCACTAGCTGACTCTGACTATCACTACCGGAGGTGCAGACATGCTTTTGACCATTTGACTCAGAATTGACCCAATTTGGACACCGGGGAGGATTCTGTTCATCTTCAGAACCAAAATCGGTACAGTTTGTTGACTTTAATTCAATATTTAATTTCTGTGCTCCACTGGGAGCTCTCAGCTGACGAGTTCTCAGCTGATTATAGGTCTAAGCTCCATCATCTGTCCCAACATGATTCAACAATACACAGATAAATAAAATAATGTGCTGCCAGTTTTATTGAAATAATTCTGGAAAAGATTTAATCGATGGGTTAGAAGAATAAATCTTTCTGGTGCTGTAGTTTGGCTCGTTGCTTGCACTAATTCAGGATGGCGCTGAGGTTCTACCTGTCCCAGGGGGATCTACTGTTGAAATGTGATGATCATCTTTTAGATTATATCTGTGTGTGTGTGTGTGTGTGTGTGTGTGTGTGTGTGTGTGTGTGTGTGTTGTAGCTTTTCCAAATGAATAGCTTTTTTCCCTTACTGGAGCTAATACGGTTAGCAGTGTTGCTGCAGTTATGCTAACGGGACTCGTCTAGAGTGCAGTTCTAGATGGATTTATAGCAGGTGCGGCGTTAGGCCCGGCTACTTGGGCTGAAGCCCCGGATGTTTCATGAAAAGCCCCGGATCTAAATCGTGGATGTAACATGCAGTACCAAAGTCCAACAGAGAGGGAGCAGCTGGCAGTAGTTTGTATACAGCCTGCCTGAGCCTCCACCACTGAAGAAGAAGCCCTTCAGCAGCCGGCTTCTTCTACACTCTCTGCCTGGAACGCATGAGTGAAGATGGGACATAAGGACGTTTTTAGACCAAAAGTACGGCGACAGAACCCCAGCTTTCATGAGACTGGTGTTGACTGCTGCTGGTTTGCCTAAAGTTAGCTTACTATCAGGTAAAGTTGTTGGAGAAAGAAAGGGAATATTTACTATCATCTCACTCTAAACACTAACAGGAACAATACTCTGCCCTGAATATGCTTAATATGTAGCTTCAGATAAAAAATGATGTGGTACAAGACAAATATATATGATGTTGACTAGTGCGTGTCATGTGTGTGCGTGCATATGCGCACGCGCGTGTGCGCGCGCGTGTTAAGCCCCGGATCTTCTTCAGTCCTAAATCCGCCCCTGATTTATAGATGTAGGTTATTATTTTACATCAGACCTATGTTATTTAAAAATGTGTGTAGGACACGGACATGTGACTCAGACCTTTGCTGCAGCTGTAAACGCAATTTTATGTAATAATTAGGAGCACGAAAGTAAACAAAATACAGTTATTCTCATTACTAGCAACAACAGCTAGCTTGTTTTACGTGCTGGAGTGATGCATGCAAAACACAGCTCTTCACTGTCTGGAGGAGAGGATTTAGATTTTCTGTAACGATTTATGAAAAAATTACTTGAGTGAAAAATTCAATCCAGTTCATATTTATATAGATAACATGTAGTTATACTGAATTTCTACAATTTTAATGAAGAGCCTGGCCAATAGCTTTAAGAGTTCAAACACAACAATTCTTCTGAAACAAACATAACATTTGTGGTTTAGGGTGGGGAATACTGGAGGACTTATCCTGCTAAAACAAGCAAAAAACATTTCCACAAAGTAAAATGGAAAATAAATGTTTGGAAATAAAAATTTAAGAAACGCCATTTATTTCAACATTATTTTTGTATTTCCTCATATTTTATTTATATATTTTATTTTATTTCAATATTATGTTCATTTATTACCAGTTACATTCCTACTTTTATTTGTTTGCTTGTTTTGACAGGATGGATTTCTTTAGTGAAAACTTTTCATCATAATGAAATCATAGGTTAATATAAAAATGAGTGCAAAATTTAAAAAATATAATTTAAATCCTCTAAGCATTTTAAAATAATTTAGTTTGCAAAAATATAAACAATGTATTGTATTTTTTTTGTACAAAAATTATTTCTAAGTGAACCTGCTTTTTTTTTTTAATAAAACACTTTTATTTTTAAATGACCAAAAATGACTCCAAACGTAATCACACTGGTGGCCATTTGTTCACCTAGGGACTAACCAAGGCTAATTTTTATTTACCAAAATCAGTAAAATTGACGTGATCTTTGACCTTACTGCAGCATTATGTTCCCGCTCAAACATGAGAACACAACTCAACACAAAGCTTTTGATGCTAGACGATCGATCTGTTCAAAAATAGTTAATTATCTGAAATAGAACAAATTTTGTCAATTCCCAAATCTATCTCACATAAGCACACAAAGGCAATGTAACAATACTTTCATCAGGCCAATAATACAGCTTTCATACCATTTCAAAAATATTTACCTATAAAAATAGCATTTCTATACATGATCAGTTTAAAAGCATTTTAAACTGTTTTTGGAAGGCTCAGTTTCCCTGGAGTTGTCACGAATGTAAACTAGATCTATTAAACCTAAATAGTTTTTTTGAGCAGGCTGGAAGCATGTTTATTTCTGCTGTGAAATGGCCATTTGCTCCCTTCTGCTGCCAGACCCTAGCAGATGAGAGTGGAACTGCAATTTTTGCCACTTCCTTTTTGGCCTCATGTTTGCTGCAGAATTATGGGGGCATGACATGCACACAAGCTGCTTGAGACTGAAAACAAGCTGGAAAAACTATGAACAAAATAAAATGCAAATAAAAACAAGTTATGCCTGTGAATTTATTAGAGTTTTATTATTATAGTCTACTTTATCTGAAAAATTTAAACATTCACCCTGTAAAACAGCCTATTTGGAGAAGGGACATTATGATTTGTAGTCATTTTCAACAGTTCTTTATAATACTTAGGAACAAAGGAGGAAGAGATTACACATATAGTCCCACCAAGATGTTTATTCACCAACACCCACTGGTTGAAGCCAAAGATTACCCCCCCCAAACTCCGTCCATGGTGGGAAATATTCATGAATAGAATTGTGACCACACCTAAAATGTATTGTGTTGTCATCAAGTGATTTCAACCTAAACGTACCATTTATACTAAAATATCGGTGATTCATTAAATCTTCCTGCATTTATTCTGAGTATAACCTCTCAAAAAAGGTATCACCAAAACGACTTCAATCTAAAAAGCGAGGAGAGTTGACAAGGATCCAAAACTAAATGAAAACTAATTTAATTCACATGAAACATTGCAGTGAAGCCCAGTCAAGGTGATGCTTACCACTAGGCCCAACAGTGACTGCCTCCTCCATCCTTTCCTCGTGGTCGGTGGGGATGGACAGTGGGATGAGCAGGACCATGCCTAAACTAGTGCCCACCCACAGACACGGTGTCGGCAGGACATCGCTTTTGCGTCCGTACGACTCTCCAAACTGTAGAGTTGTGATGGCCTCCTTGGTGTCCCGGTCAATGCTCGACACGCTGGAGCTGCGCGAGCGGCTGAAGGAGTTTTCGCGACTCTCTGCAGCAGCAGCCAAGCACGGAGGTGTGGCGCAAGCAGAAATGATGCATGAGGAGACAGATGGAAAACAGTGTCATAGGAAAAATGGAGAAAAAGGGAAAGTTGTTAGAGTAGAGGAGTTCATGACAGTGATTGGTGAAAAAATTAGTCATGTGAGAAAGAATGGAATGTGAAAGGACAAGCAGTTAAAAATAAAAAAGTAAGAACAAAGAAGTGTAGGAGAGACCTTTTAAAAATCAAACATGGTTTGCCTTAGATGTAAAACAATGCAACAAAAATGCTTCAGTATGGGCGTGTACACTGAGGAGCAAAGTATTTACAAAGAAACAGCTGGACAGAAACAGTCATTCAAACACATCAGTTTACTAAAGCAGCACTCATCTTCATTTACGACAGTTTCCATTTGACAAACACTCATGCACTGTGGCAGCTGCACATATTTCAAAGGTTTCTTTAACTCCATTTGAGTGATCCTCGTTCAGGTCCTCCGTTGTGTGCTTAAAGCCTCCGCCATGGAAACATTTCTTTATGGCTGCATTTCTGAATTATTCAAAGCCAGATGGAGAAAAGCTTGGTGTGTTGAATGCCTGCGTGGTTTTTCTGCAACATTTTAAGGCAGTTTTAGAACATATGCTGCTTTATGTTATTTTTAAACTAACCTTAGATTTGTTGAATTATTCAAAGCAAAACTGTCAATGCCTGTTAATGGTGCATGGAAGAAGATCGACATCTTGTGGTCAAACGTGGGTACTGCAGGCCATTTTTAAAGCACACAGGGTGACTTTCTCACTACAGTTAAGTGAGTTTCATAGCGGTTGCCAGTTACAGAGCAGTGCCAGAAGATTCTATATGACAAGCTAGGACGAGTACTACACAGGAAGTTGGTAAGTAGATGAATTTACTTCACTGTAATATCGAGTTGTTGGTTATTTTTGACTTTAATTATCTGCCTTGTTGTGCATTTTATTGTTGACCGTGTATTGTTTTATATTATGTTTTTACTTTTTATTCTGTACAGCACTTTGGTCGGCTGCCATGCCGTTTTTAATTGTGCTTTATAAATAAAGATGGTATGGTATGGTATGGTATTTAAAAAAAAGGCAGCTTGAAATATATATTTCAGAGCCAACATTTTTTTTTATTCACCGTTAGCATTTTTAGCTCAACATTAGCCTCTAGCCTCCTTTTAACCGATATGAAAGTAAAACAAAAAGATACTGTTGCTTCTTAGGGGTACTAGAAATAACTTCTGGGTCGCTCCTGTTACCGGCTAACATTCTGTCCACAGCACTGCCGCTCAATGCCGGCACAGACCTGGCAACCTTGCTGACTCACATATGATTGGTTCTGGAACCAGGAAGTATGGAGCTGGGAGAGAATGTAAATGATTACGTCCCTCTTTGGCATTTTTAACAAGGAGAAAACCGACAACCCTTGTTTAAATGTAACCTTCCCTTCAACGTGATTGAGACACCAGGGCTATTCCATTCTGGGCCTCAAGGCCCGGTATCCTGCACGTTTTGGTTTTAACCCTGCTTCAACACACCCGATTTCAATTAGTAGGTGATTAACAGGCTTCAGCAGAACCCGATGAGCTGCTGCACATGTAATCCAACCAACGAATCTAGTGTGTTGGACCAGAGAAACCACCCAAGCATGCTGGATACCGGCCCTTGAGGCTCAGAATTGAATAGCCCTGCTTTAGACTGTTTTGTGATTATATCACTGTAATATTCTTACTTATCGCACTTTTGAATAAACACAATAGCTATATTAAATCAGCCTCAACTGATAAAGTGTCAAAATTGGCCACCCGTCCGGCCTGTACATCATCCAGGACCAGGACAAGGTGGGGCCAGGCATGTTTTAGATGACACAGGGCCACAGGACGGACTGACATTGTGACTGACGGACGGACAGAAGCAAACTAGTCAGCAGTGGATGCGTTTGTGGCCGAAGCTTCCTTACCTCTCTCATTCCAGCAGTAGGAGGTGGTGTGGTGCTCGTCGTGGGAGTACATAGTGACTCCATGTAACTGCTGAAGCATTGCCCTCCTGGATGCATGGCCTACTCAACCCCCCCACCACCAACAACATGAACCCCATTGAACAAAGCACAACCCGTGCGCGCACAAACACACAAGTGCAGCCATACCGAAAAACAAAACAAACGAGATGGACAGATGGACAGTTGTCCCAGAGAATGACAAAAAAGGGAAAAAAGAGAAAACAGTGACTGAGTGTGGAGGGACTCCTTCGAAAGGCAAATTAAGTGCAAACTTTAAAGAAAACGTTATGGTTATTCTTAGTGGCCACACAACGTGAACCCCCAGTCCCCTGCTTGCAAAAGTCAGGTTTGCTTTTTAGTTCTTCTAAAGAACTCAAACAACAATTATTTATGCACCAGAGAAGATTCTGAACACCAACATATTAATGCTTCTTTGAACCTGCAACTTAAAACTACTTCATGGTGTGAAACATCCAAAATGTAGTTGCACGATTGTTTTGTTTTTTTTGGTATTGTTCTGCTTTCCTCACAGTCGTACAATGCTGCAGGCATCCACCATCATGCAACAACCTTCTGTCTTGAGTCTGGGTGACAGCCACTTGGTTTTGCCATGTGGTGCCGGGGTGTGTTTACGCTGTGTGACAGAGCCTGTGGGGTGCTGGCTAATGAAAGTCAGGCGCAGTGATGTTCTGACAGGACACAGGAACCCTAGGGGCCCCTGACAGGGAGGCAGAGGTAGGCGGTGCGGTATCGAGGAGGTGATAAGGCAAGGAAAACACTGTTAGGTGGTGACAGACAACATACCCGTGCAAAAACATTTTAGAGAGACGAGGACCCACAACTGGAGATGGTGCCCGTGTTTTGTTGGTTTCTGCATATACGTGCGCTGTTGTGTAGGTGATGAGTCCAATGTTTACCGTACATCATGTCTGGTTTCCCTTGTCATTTGCCTCCTCTGTCTTCCTCCCTGGCACGCAGGCCTCATTAACATCAGAGTCATTTCTTGCACTGCTTTCTGACCTTTAATTATTTCAGTTATCCTGCTGGCTCTTCGCCGTGGTAACCCTGAGCGATTGATACACAGCAGAGCCAAAAGAAGACAAAAGCCACAGAATGTGCACAGGTCTGCTGGGGAAAAGGGATCATTCAACGCCTAATCAGCAGAATCGATCACTGGGGATTTTAAGTAGAAATGGCAAAACCCAGAGAGAAGGTTTAAGTGGGATCCACCATTCTGATGCAGGCAGGTGGATTAATTCAACGTGGCTTTTCTAATCATCTTTTCTGAAGATTTTGACCAGATTCTTCCAGAAGTCCATCACTGGTGTGACGGATATTTTTAGAAGCTGTAAAAGCCTCGAATGAACTGTGAATCAGAGTGATTTACACTGTTTGCATCATCCTGGCTGATAGTGCACCTGTCGCCCAGGCGGTGGCTTTAATAAAACATTTAGCTCCTGCTAATGAAGAAGAGCTCCCCTCTTGGTTCCAGGTCACTGTTGTATAATGAGGTTGATGAAGAAAGCAGCGTAACTCTAATTACTGAGTTGATGCAAAAGGTTCGGCTTTGACTTAAACACCAGTACGCTCCGCGCGGCACACTTGGCTTTTATTTTAAGTTAACAGTTCACACCAGCTCAGCTGTGAAAACCCACTGAAATCTTGTACTGAGCTAACAAATGAAAGCTTTAAACGCAGCACTGATGTGAGCAGCGTGTGATTTGGGAATGTGACTTTATTTCCAACCGGCAACATTTGCTGTCACTTTGTGTCTGATGGTCATGCAGGGTGACTACAGTGGCTTTAACCTTTCAGGGACCGTCACAAAGCCGAGTGTCCTGTGGAGAGATTTGCCTTCCGTGACTTGACCGGGACATTTTTGTAGATCTGAGTGAGCTCAGACTATAAAAAGAAGTAAATAAAAGTCCACGAGAGGATCACAAGTGAGGGACCCATAAAGAGGTTATCTGGGAAAGGTTTGAGATAATCACAAGGACTTTTTCTTCTTGCGCGTACATTTAGTCCTGACTGATGTACAGCAGCACAGTAGATTAGATTTACATTTTAAATGAGAGCACTGGAGTGTGCAACGGATTCTCTATCTCCAGGGTCAATCAACCTCGAGTCAGTTTTGAGTTTAACCAGCTTAAATCTTTGTCACAACCTCTGTGAAAAGTGTCTATCATTATTATTTTTAAGGCCTAGTCCACACGTAGCCGGGTTTTTAAAAAAAAAACGAATATCCGCCCCTCCAAAAACTTGCATCCACACCACCTCATTTAAAAAGAAACTCTGTCCACACGTACCCGGATAAATACGTTGTTAAGGACATGCCAGACCTGTAGGCGGCAGTACTTCCCCCGTTCTTAACCTCGTCCTTCGTCTGTGGTCTTCCGCAAGGAGCAGTAATTCCGCTTGCAAAAACAAACAAGCAAAAAACGCTTGGACAATTGATAAAGCAAGCGCAGCTCTGAAGGCATCCATGCTGTCGGCTAGTGTAAACACAGGTCGCACACGTGATGTCAGCATTTTTTTGTCGCGGAAAGTGACGTTGTAGACCTTAAAACTCCGGTTTTGTCTGTCCACACGCAGACACCCAAAACGGAGAAAACGCAGATCTTCACTTTGGCCGGAGTTTTTAAAAAGATCCGTTTTCGTGTGAAAAAACTCCGTTTTCATGTGGATGACAGGCCAAAACGTAGAAAAATATCTACGTTTTGGCAGATCCTCGGCTACGTGTGGACAGGGCCTAAAACACTCTTTAGAGAATCGGACAACCTCATCAATCTCTCTCTGCTTTGAAGTTTATAAGAATGTTATACAAGCAACAACACTGTTCACCACGAGAAGGCCATGTCAGAAACCATGAAGGTATACAAATCTGGACCAGCCATAGCAGTAGAAAAAAGATTTTGTGCTACAGGTCAATCTCGCCACACTATTGGTCTGAACACTTTTATAACTAGCCAATCATAGCGTTTTTTCAGTAGTTTGTGGTCTTATGTGTACATATTTAGGATGGGTTGCCAGATTAACATCAAGAAGTTTACTTTAAAAATGTTCTGGTTGAATTGTTTAACAGGAAATACCGAACAAAGGGGAAGAAATCATCTGTCTTATAATTAAGTGGTCATACAGTCCTAGTAAAGGCAATTTTTCTGATTTCTGTTTCTCAAAATTACAGTGACAAGGTCATTTTAACTCCTAACCTCACGTTTGTTATCTGCTTTGTTGAATTTCTTTTAGACCCCCTTTGGCTTGAAGATATAAATCTACTCAGTAAATGCAAACTTTAATACATTTTGCACTATTTATGACACTGATCAGACATTTTCTAAGGCTCCTTTATCGTGTTTACCATATAATTATAGTATTCTTTTTTGCAGATGTGCACACTCATGTATACACATATTTGCACGCTCACACACCAGTGCTTTTAAAACAATTACACAAAAAGCATAAACACACAGACATTTTCACATCGATCATGGAAATGGAACGCCTCTTTTGAGTCAGTAGAAGTCAAGATCAGAGTGTGATCAAAAAAGCGTCGCAACTAAAGCTGAAATTAAACTGTGAATGAGACCGTTCCAAGCTAGGTGCTTAGAAACCAAATAAAATGAGGCTCTTTGGGATTTGTGAAAGAAAAGTGAAAAGTGTGGCCACACTATGAACCTAAAGTGTTTTACTAACTTCTAAAAGAAAAAGAAAAACACCCCCAGCATTTGAAAAAAGGCAGTCAACGTACGTTTGCCAACCTATAACTTCATGGGGAAAAACATCATCAGATCATCTGCAAACTAATAAACAACGTTACAGATTTAAGAAACTTCTAAACAAAATGAATAATTTCAGAATAGAATTAAACAGAGATTCTTACAAAAGTCTTGGATCATTTAGATTACGCCATTCTTTAGGCCTGGGACATGGTTGACAGAAGCAACAGAGTACATGAACACAATGCAAGAGCTGTTTCTTGCATTTGAACGTAGCAGAGCTTACAGCCAAATTGTTGTAAGATAATGCTAATGCAAGCAGCAAAGACGCAAATGTGGTAAATAAACTGCTTCAAAAGCTGCCGTGTAAGCCTTGTCACACTGTTAAACTTGTATGAAGTGTCCAATCAGAAAATCCTGTTTTGTTAATGTTTAGAGGCTAAACCAGGGCTAGAACTGCAACAAATTTTGAAATGTTGCTAACTAAAGTATTTTCAAAAACAAATTATCTGTCTATTAAAGATGCCCTAGAGAGGGATTTATTACATTTGGAAACTGTTCTTCGAGTCTCTCTGAGGCCCTGTCCACACGTAGCCGGGGATCTGCCAAAACGTAGATATTGTTCTACGTTTTAGTCTGTCATCCACACGAAAACGGAGTTTTTTTCACACGAAAACGGATCTTTTTAAAAACTCCGGCCAAAGTGAAGATCTGCGTTCTCCGTTTTGGGTGTCTGCGTGTGGACAGACAAAACCGGAGTTTTAAGGTCTGCAACGTCACTTTCCGCGACAAAAAAATGCTGACATCACGTGTGCGACCTGTGTTTACACTAGCCCCCAGCATGGATGCCCTCAGAGCGGCGCTCGCTTTATCAATTGCCCAAGCGCTTTCTGCTTGTTTGTTTTTGCAAGCGGAATTACTGCTCCTTGCGGAAGACCACAGACGAAGGACGAGGTTAAGAACGGGGGAAGTACTACCGCCTACAGGCCTACAGGGGTAGGTGTGGACAGAGTTTTTTTAAACAAGGTGGTGTGGATGCAAGTTTTTGGAGGGGCGGATATTCGTTTAAAAAAAACGGCTACGTGTGGACTAGGCCTGAGTTGAGCTGACGCATGTTAAAACTGCACTGAAGCTAGCCAAAACAAGCCTAATGCTTTTATGTAGTTAATTTCACAGTAAAATGGTAATAGTTTGCTGCACGATTGGCTGAACTAACAGACAAGGGTGTAAATTCATTTTAGCTTTATATCAAATAATTCTGACGTAGACCAAAGAGGCGCAGTAGTCAGTTGGACTAGCAGCTCCTAAAGTGTTTTTGGATTTGCACCAAATGTGTTTTTGTTTAACCCCAACGCCCCCCCCCCCCCCCCCCCCCCCAATTGGGGGCCTCTACAGTTTCATATCCCACACATCTACAACTGTCCACATTCTCCAAACACAACTAAAACTAGAATCAAACAGCCCAGATGGGAAACAAGGCCATTTTAATTTGTAAAAAATTAAGATACAATGACGTTTGAACTTTATTTTAGAAGAGAATCTGACCTTCTCTGGTGTCTGCTGGGAAAAAAACCTTTGAACAAGTTTAGTTGCGGACCCCTGGAATAAATAAAACAATTGACTAAATTCCCTAAATGCAATTTGAACTCACAACCTGTCAGCACTTTCACACAGAGCAGCTCTTCTAAAATAAAGTTAAAGTATTATTTTATCTTAATGTATAAAAAACCAAATATTGCTTTGTTTACAATCTAAACTGCTTTGATTATGGCTGTAGCTGTGCTCGGGGAATGCAAACAACCACTGACACTTGGGACATGAAACTGCAAAGGCCCCCAGTTGGGAGGCGCCATGACACAAAGAAAAAAGACCTAGGGCCTAAAGTGTTAAGATTAATGTTGATATACTTCATGAAGATGACGGACCAACTGTGAATGACTTGAAATGATTAATATCCGTTTTCATCACTTATTTACTATTGATAATCCTTCATTTCAGTATGGATGACGTGTATTACCATCCACTATAGTAATAGATACTAATGATATTCCAACGTAGGATTACGTGTGTGAAAATTATGTGACTTATTTAGCATGATGAGCTTCATTGTTGTGAGACATCTATGTGCCCCCACTCTGCTGAGAGGAGTAGCTGTACCCGTTGACCCAGCCAGCATCAGAAACCAGACTTTGTCGGGCGTTCACTTTTTAATCAGCTCCAGTGTAAAGTGAAACACTATTTATCACAGATTGTTTTCAATCCAGCGGAGTCAATTCTGAAAAAGTTGGCAACTTGTTTACATCGGTGAACAGCAGCAGCCAACGTTCATAAGCTAGCTAACACCTAATGTTTGTAAACATCACTCTCAGTGAACCCCACCGAGGTGTGCTAATCCTTCCCACAAGTGAACTGGGCTTGAAGTAGTAGAAGCCAGGCTAAACAGTAAAAAAGAAAAAAAAAAAACCTCAGTCACCACTTTTATCTGTTCAATAGTCCTGTTGCCTTATGGGCCATTCCCATCTGTACCGGGTCGGCCCGGGCCGGGTAGCCCCAGTCGGCCCCAGCCTGGCCCGGTTGATTTCACACATCCTTGCCTTAAGCCCACGTGGGCTGATTCTACCCACCGATCAGAGGCTTGCTCTAATGGAAGGTGTGAATTTGCTGTCAGCAGTGGGTGTGTTGGCCCTGGTCGGCCTGAAGCAGACCCCCTCGAGAAGAGGGCTGAGAATGAGCCTTGGTTGGCCCGGAAAAATACCAGGCCACCCAGATATGTAAACAATCTATGCTACCCGGCCCGGGCCGACCCGGTACAGATGGGAATGGCCCATTACACTGGTGGACTCGGGTGATCGAGTGATGTAGGTGCAAGGGGTTTTAATAACATGACACTTGTTGGGGCTCAGAATGGTCCAGGAGCTCTGATAAATGGTTGAATACGACCCCAAAAACCTTTAAATTGGAAAGACTAGTTAACCCAACCTACTCGGCCAGAAGGTGAATATTACTGGAGCTGTTGCTGATTGGCCGATTTACCCCAGTATTGGTTCGGTTGATGTTCATGGGTGGGAGTATGGACCAATGAAGGAAGAAATGAGTATCCGGCAAAGTTACCAGCTGGTTGTAGAGGTATTATGAAAGAACCAAAAAAAGTTCAAGGACAAAACCAGAAAAACAGCTGTGGATCTATATTCCCAGATATTACATCCCGGAATGTGCAGTGGTGCTTAGTTTTTATTTGTAGTTTTCTTCCCATCCATTAAGGTTGTTAATAGTAGCTCAGGCTAGCTTTACCTTAACCAAAGTTTCTTTGTTGCCTACACTGAAATGTGTTGGGATGTGCAAATTTTATGTGGTGTTTAAGTTTAAGATGTGTAAAACCAGCTTTTCCCAGCACAAAACGTTTCTCAGACGCTATAACATTTCTACTTTACATGGGAAAGCAGGGTGGAGATCCTACATGCTTTTAGGTATGCTACATTAAACACCCTGCACTTTCAAAATCCAACAACAAGGTAAATGTGACTTAAAATTCTAGGACACCTTTAAACTGGTCACAATTATGTGCAGGATCTGCTTTTGACACAATATTTATTGGTGCTAACTTGCATTAGCATGTGCTTGCTTTGTGTTAACCATGTATCAGACCTCAGTCCACTTACTCCAGAGGAAAGGGTGGCATGCAGTCATTGGGGGTGGAGTGGTGGTGGTATGAAGGTTTAGGGGATGGGAGTCGGGAAAACAAGCACACACCTTCAGTGTGGGACACAGGCAAAGAGATCTCCATGCAAGCAGCAGACTGGGCCTTGCGGAAGGGTGGTCGGCCAGGGCCTCTGCGGGTAAGCCGTGGTCCCTCGGGACCCATTGGAATGCGAGGCTTCCCCGCTGAGCAGGGCTGAGAGGTGGGGCTAGTGCAATGTCCATTGACATGATCTGTAACAACGGCAAAGCATTAGCAAACAATCCAAAGGACGGAGATGTTTTTAAACATAGTTTAACCCACAGCTGCAACATCCATCTTCATACATCTAAAACTAGGCAGACTGATTTTATTTTCCATCATTTTTCAAAGTTTTGTCTATTTTTTGGGGGGGGGGGGTTGTTTGCTCACAAAATGCAAATTCTGGCATCTGCACGGTTGACCTATGAAGATGGAAATCATTGCAGTGTTAGAGGAGCAGGCTGACATTAAAATCTGATTGTTAGGTAGGAAAATGACTGTGGGAGATAGGGGAGAGTGCGTGAACAAGGGCTGAAGTGTGGTTTGAAGTAAGTATGTGCAAGGAGAAGGAAAGATAAATGAAAGAAAAATGCAAAGTGAAATCATGAGTGCCGTTGTCGGTGCAGGATCTGCTCGGGTGCAGGATCGGCTCGGGGTCCTTCGACTGCCGATGACGTCAGAGTAGTTGATTGGCTGAACATGAAGCTTACGGAAGTGACGCTATCACGTTATGATTTGATTGGTCAGAACAAATTTGCGGTCGTAGTCTTAGCGGTTGTAGTCCTGTAGTCCAAAAATCAACCCTTTTTGGAGAAAATGTGTTTGAATTTCTAAAGGAAATGTAAAATATAAGCAAATGATAAACGGTGACCCTCAAAAGCTCTTGATTTTGATGAAATGGGGCAAAATAAAATATAACAACTTTATTGAAAGACACCAAGCAATATTTTGAGTCTAAGACTGTATTTAGATAACAACTAAGGAAATATGCAGACGAGCTCCACATTAATACAAACAGACATGGCTTCACATATGAGAACTGTTCTATTGTTTGTCAGTCCGATGTTGGTTTTATGCAGTTTCACATTCTTTACAAAACAAAGATAATATGGTGTTTTATTAACAAATTACAGTTATAAAGAAAACATTTAAGTGTTAACAAACAAGAATTTATTAACAAAACTGCTGATGTCTTTCCAAAACGTGTGTGCGAATGCCGAGTAGATTTGCAGTCATGTGACGCCATCGGCAGTCGAAGGACCCCGAGCCGATCCTGCACCGACACCGTTTCATCCTGTCTGTGCCAGGAAGGAGAGCTTAAAGCAGGCTCATTTTATATCTACTTTCATTTTTTATTTTGGTTACGCTGACTGGCAAAGCTCAGAGTGAACATCAAAGTAACGAAAATAAATACAAAACTCCAAAGTTGTGTTATTCGTATGCAAATGAGTCTAATGGGCAACAGAGTTGCAGATGGTGCCGACATGAAAACACTTGTTACCCCCTGGATTGGTGACTTTACACGACTTCTCCCAGAAGGACTGCGTTTGTTGGAGGCTTTGTCCTGCGCTAATGTGGAGTCCTCGTGGGACCGAGTGTGTGGCTTGAAAGCAAAATCAGTTGTTGAGATTCAAACGGTGTTAATGAGAAAATAAAGGAACAGCAGTATTGTGTGGTCTGTACTTCTTAAATAAACCAGTAAGACAATCATATTTAACAATCTCATGATGCCCATGCCTCGGTACCCTTAAGATCTCCTGTCATGAAAGACAAATGAATACATCATTGCCCTTCTTAAAGTGGCGTCCTTGTGGCAGTAAAATTCAAGGTTAAAAGCATTTGTGGTTGATAGGAAGGTCTGATGGAACCCTTTTCCTATTTTTCCCCCCTTTTCCTTCCTGATATCCTTGAATAGATGAAGCACGAGGACAGACAGAATTATGCTAATTGGTGAAAGCAGAACACAGTGTCCCTCGTTCCCTGTTTTCCTGCATCTGCTTCTGCAAAACTAGTTTTCTATTCAGCTGGTTCACACAGAATTTATTCCATTTCAAAGTGAAGATGAAAAACTCTGGGGTGCCAGTCGAGCCACGTGCAACACCCCCCAGTTTCATGTCTGGATGGCAGTTTAAGGGAGTTTCCCATACATGTAACACTGCAATAATGAAGAGCCACATGATGGAACAAATGAGTATCAGTTTTCCTTTAGTGATTTTCAAAAAAAAAAAAAAAAGGTTTTCTAGGAAATCATCCTGGTCTCCAAATGTTCTTACGCATTGGTGTGTGTATATCAGAAGGAACAACACCGACATTCAGTCCCTGTCTTATATTAAACACGTGCGCGCAAAAGAAACCACAGTAAATACCCAAAAACAAACCAGAGATATTCTCTAAAACATAAAATTCAGCCTTTAGATATGCAACCGGTGCATAAGGTAATATGAGTTTTACCCACGAGCTCAGCTGAGCGTCCTCTCTCTCCGGGAGTGTTTCAGACGTGAATTGGCAGTGAAAGCGTTCGAAACAGCTAATCTCGTCAGGTCAGAAAATCACTGGATAATTGCAAGACCACCTGTGATTTCAACAGTTCATGTAATAAAGAAATAGACAGCAGCATGCATCCAAAAGGTACAGTATGCGTTTTTCTGCTCTGTTTACCTTGGCTACTGAGGTTTCACAGGTAGTGGTGTACTTTATATTTTTTACTGATAAAGCTAATGGAAATCTGCTCATATCTTATATTTTGAAAGTTGATGGATGCTTTACACTGCTTTCGTTATCGACTTCCTGTCTAGCCTGATGTGATGCTCTGGAAGTGTAGCATGTAACAAAAAATAGACTTGAAATGTAAATTTAGCACCAGGCCCCCACAATGCGGCTCAAAAATTGAGGCCAACGCGGAAGTACCAAAAATTGCAGTTCCACCCTCATCCACTGGGGGCTGGTGTCAGAAGCGAGCAAATCCTCATTGACTCCCATGTTAAAAATACCAATTTCACAGCAGAAATAAACATGTTTACAGCCTGGTACCAAAACATGTTTTTGGTTTAAATTATCTAGTTTACACTCATGACAACTCTGAGGGTGGTGAATTATTTTCTCACTCTTCTGTTTAAGTGTATTAAAAGCCTAAAATTCTGTATAATTAATGAGCATCAGACCCACGTGACCACAGAGCTAGCTCCGTGGAAAGGCCTCAGTAGAGCCTCGGCCTGGCTTGGAAACTGTTCTGGGATTTTGAGTCTCTGTGTTTGTGTATTCTTTTTTGGATATTTTTGTGCAATTGTTGGACAAAATGACTTGCTGTGGCATTAATTGCACTAATAGAGCGTCCAAGGAGTCTCCACTTCATTTTTTTCGGTAAGTAAAATTATATTTATGTATTTTAGGTCACTGCCGAGCTGAGCTTAGATTTTAACATGTACTGTTTAACCATGAAATTTAAATGTAATAGGGTAAAACCAGTGCATTTAACATAATGCTGCACTTTAGAAAATGGGTTGAAATATAACATGTTGGTGGAGCTGGGTTCCGACTATCGGCTTGTGGAGCTCTCGGGAGACCGATGTTTTCCACCCGGTTCTCCCCTCCCCGCAGCTCGGCGCATCTCTGTCTGATCACGGCTTCTGTTTGCTGCGTGAAGCTCTGGGATGGAAACCTGTCCACCCGGTTCTCCCCAGCGGCAGCTCTGCACATCTCAGATTGCAGTGGCGCTTGTCTGCTGCGCGGGCTGACGGCTTGTGGAGCTCTCGGGGACCTCTGTGTTTCACCTGGTTTTACCCAGCGGTCAGCCCGGCGTATCTCTGACTCAGAAGCTCTGGTGTTGTGCACAGTTAACTCCGGTTGTAGCTAGGTTGATACCTCCATTAGCTTAGCTCCCACCTCCGCATTAGCTTTGGGTTAGCTTCAGGTTAGCTAGTAGCTAGTTCGACCAGGTGTCGTCAGTTGATCCCAGCCTTACAGCCCCACCCTCAGCTCCACCTCTCTTCCCTTTTGTGGAATTGTCTGGGCTTGACGGAACCTGTGACACGGTCAAAATGGAGGTGGTGGCCACCTCCCATTTACCCTCAAAAACGTGTTATTGGAGCCTATGGAAACCCATTGTCCAATATTTATATGTCGATGTTTAGCACCAAGGCACATCTTGCATTCTGAAGCAGTACTGATGAGTCACTCTGCTAAATTCATGCTTTTAGTCTACTTTTGTGCTATACTTCTAGAAGGTGTCAGGTTCAGCAGTTCAGGTCGGGCTGTACAGCAATGGAAAGCAATGGAAAACATCTGGAAACATTCAAAATGAAAGACATGAACAGACTTCCTCAAGCTTGACTAGTAAAAATTAAAATATGCCTTTAAATGTGACGTGTCTAATTCTGAAGTAAACAGAACAGAAAATAAACCACAGACCTTTTTGAATACTTTCAGCTGTCTTTATTCTTTGCTCGTTATTGTGTGGACTTCTGAAATCACGCGTGGTATTGCAATTCTTCCGAAATTTCGTGACTTTGACTGTGGCTTTGAAAGCTTTTGCTTCCATTTCGTGACAGAACCACTCCCGGTTGGAAGGGAGCTTGCAGGGAAATTGCTCAGTTTCGTTGCACACCACCATCGCGTCCGGTGGAAAGCCGGTGTCGGTACCAGATGTGCTCGGGCTGCCAGATCGGCTCGGGGTCCTGCGCCTGCTGATGACGTCACGTTACGGTAAATCCACTCGGCTTTCACAATTCCATTTTTAACAGACATCAGCAGTTTTGTTAATAAATTATTTTTTGCTACCACCAAATATTTTCTTTCTAAATGTAATTTGTTAAGAAAACACCACATTATCTTTGTTTTGTAAAGAACGTGAAACTACATAAAACCAACATCAGACTGCAAAGAAAGACAACAGTTCCTATATGTGAAGCCATATCTGTTTGTATTAATGTGGAATTTGTCTGTACATTTCCTTCGTTGTTATGAAAATACATTCATTTGTTCATTCAAAATGTTGCTTGGTGTCTTTTCAATGAAGTTCTTATATTTTATTTTGCCCCATTTAATCAAAATCAAGAGCTTTTGAGAGTCACCATTTATCAGTTGATATCTTTGCTTTTATTTTACATTTACTTCAAAAGTTCAAACTCTGAAAATTGTTGATTTTGGACTACAAGTGTTGAGACAACAACCGTATATTTGTTCTGACCAATCACAATCATCATAGCCAATGTGCTAACGTAACTTTTACGAATGTGGTATTGTAACTTCCTGAAGTCTTATGTTCTGTGACGTAATTTGCAGACGCAGGACCCCGAGCAGATCTGCTACCGACACCGGTCTAAGCGCCAACGCAAGTGCTCTGCAGCAGGCCTGAAGAGATTGACGGGGACAAGCCCAATTTTCTAACTCTTCATCAAAAGTGATGGAGACCACAAGCCTGCCAGGTTGCCACTTCCTGAAAAATTGTCATCGCCGTCATTACCCCCAAAAATAAGACGAGTGCTGAAGATATCAACCCGTGGAAGAAGTTTGATGACACAAAAGTTTATACGTCCGTGACTGAAGTGCAAAGATAAGCTGCAAACGTTTTATTCGTGAAAGGAAATTAATGGCAATGTGGGTTTGAATTTGGCGACTGCGTTAAGAGGTGGAGGAGAATGAGAGATTAATTCATCCATGTTCAAAAGTTTCTAAACTATATGTTCACAATCTAAACGCAAATAAACAATAGAAAACGCACTATGGTGGACCAGAGATGGGACTGCAATGGTGACGGTATGCCCTTTGTTGCCCTGGCAACGGATTCCTATCATTCCTGAAATCAAGTGTTTCTGCACCTGCTATGGAAGGAAAGGTTTGTACAAATGTATGATCGCAGAAATAAGAAGGAACAGACACCTTTATGTTCAAAAGCAGACATGTTTAGAGTGAGCAGCGCATGTGACACCGCAGAAGGATAGCAAAGAGAAACCTGAGAATGATCATAGCAGTTGAGAGGTACATGCGGGGCGGGCTTGTAGCATCTGTAATGTAGATGGTCCAGTCAAAATGGAAGAATGTTGGTTCAGTAGAGAAATGATCCAGTTCTCATGGGAGAGGCAGCAAGTGATCCCTTACAGCGAGGCAAGGCAGTTAATGGAGGAAAGATTAAATCAGAAGATGGTCCAATAATGATGGAGCGATAGAAAACCTCAGATTTAAATATGGGCATGAGTTAAAAGTCACCTTTATAAACACTTGCAAAATGTAGAAGAAGGAAAACAGACGCAGTTGACCTAAAACAACTTAAAATATCTAAACGAGAAATGTTGGACCAATAGTCCCACGGGGTTGGTTGAGCAGGAGAGAGAGTGATAAGGAAAATTAAAGTTAAAAACTTAGTGAGAGGGAAAGTAACAATACTTATGCAACACAAACGCTTAGAAACGGGGACAAAAGCAGAAACTAAATGACTTGAAAGGAAATATGCGTGAAAACTGCTGGCTTTCGCCTACCGTACCAAGATCAGTCTTAAGATCTGTGGGCAGACTTAACTTTCTGCCTGGTCCCTTTACTGAAACAAAAGAATAGGAAACAAAGAACCAGTTATTCTCCTAAAAAGTAAATAAAAGAAAATGATAATTAAATAAAGGCAGTAAAAGGGAAATAAATTAAATGAAAAGAAAGGAAAAAACAGAAACCAAAAGAAAAAAGAATTTCATTTAAATGAACATCAAACCAGAGCATGCAGATTGGTGCAGTCGCACGCAGCAGGCGTATTTCCAAATGCATGCTTGGTTGTTTTCCCAGGCCAGTGCTTCCAGCTATGTCTGCAAAGCCAATTTCGAGATGATGTTAAAAAGTTTCGGCTGCTTGGAACAAGTTTTGTCGTTTATCTGTGATTTACTTACTTTTTCTTAGTGATTTATTGAGCAGCGATGAGGCAAGATCATCTACTGAGATGTAAATCCTGGTTATTTACAAAGTTTACTCTACACAAACTGCTGGTTATTTCTATTGTTTAATTAATATGTCCTTTAATGTCTGTGGAAATTCCACGCTCAGAGGCCTGGGATGTCTGACATGAAAGCACAAATAAACAAGGTGACACCTAAAGGTGCCGATAAAAAAAAAAACACAGTCAGACAGTGAAGGAGACCAAAAACAGCTCAGTGAAACATTTTGCAAGCATTTTGCAGTAAATGCAAGGGTCGAACTTGATATATGGATCTGCTTTCATGAAAAAAAGGTGAGAATATTCTACAGTTTCTTCATTCCTGATGATTAACTTGATGTTGAAAAGACAAGATGACGCCTGATTTTTCATGACCACAAGGAAAATGGCATGACTGAATTTGCATTGATTCAAATTCTGGTCGTTTTACAGTGGAGCGATTTGTTTTTAAATGAAAGAAAAAAAACTCAGGTTTCAATCCTTCTGCTGTCAAATACAAAAAAAAAAGAAGCTAATTTTTGATGAGGATAAGGACGTCGTGTGAAATTTGCTTGTTGGTAGATTTTCCAGGGACGCTCCAACTTCCCTTCACAGTCAAACGACATGCACAGCAGATTAGATGATTATCCCAAATCAGCTAAATAAATATGTAGTTATCTCCTTGTTCGCTTTGATTGACAGGTGACCTGGCCATGGTAAAACCCACCTCAAAGTCAGCTGGGACAAGCTAAACCTCCCAGTGACCCTGAAAACCATAATGAAGTAAAGCTAACGCGTGGCGCCGTCAGCTTTTCTTTTAAGGTCCTTTGGAGAATAAACAGTGGAAATATTCTGATATCCCTGAATGAAATGTGCAATTATTGAACTTTACAATCTATGCAGACATTTGAATTTGTCTGGCTAATAAGATAACAGATGAGCTGAGTGTGTGTCATAATGAAGCCTCAGTGACCAGATGCTGCTGCTGCTGCTGCAGCCATATAAAACTGGACTGTTAGAGACACAATGACAGGAAAAATATTCTCATAACAAACCTGCAACACACACACAGTACCTTGGCAGCTGACTGTTTAATGTTTTTAATCAGAATGAGCAGGTTGCACTGATCGGAGGAGCCTAAGGCTTGCTCAGTGTGAAACGAACAGTAACCAATTGTATTATTATTTATTTTAACTCCACTTTTGTTTCTGACTGGATATTAATTAAAGCTGATTCATAATTTAATCGCTCACCACATAGACTTGAAATTGATTTCTTGTTGAGTTTGAGAAGTTCGTAAGTGCCATTGATGCTTTTTGATTAATTGTGAAACTTTTAAGAAATAAGTTAGAAATGAATGCTTGAAAAAATCTGGGTAATTTAGGTTGGTAAGACAGTTTAAAGGGGACATATGACTTTTTTTTTCTTAAGTTGTAATAGTCAATACAAAACACAGGGTATCTGCAGGTTTAAGGGAGCCAAATTTAAGACTTTTTAAGACCTTTTTAAGGCCACTTAGACCAAATTTAAGCTATTTTTATAATTAAATTTAAGCTTTATTTTCCAGCTATTGCCTGGAACTGGTGCCAACCGCGTCGCGAACATGGGATTAGCCATCCAGTTACCATCAAACTTGCACTTCCCCATGGCGCAAGCTCCCACTAGCTTAACCAGCTAATGTGCTCATCTAAAAATAGCCCCCTTTCACAAGCAACTGAATGTGTACGGTTCCGCTTACGCCAATATCACACACAAAAAATGCTGAAGACTAACTAGAAATTCATGAAAATTTCATAGAAATAAAATAATCTTGTTTATTGGGTCTTTGAAAATTTAAGACCTTTGGAAACTGTATTTAAGGATTATTTGTCATTTTTAAGGATTTTTAAGGCCTTAAATTTGGAAAAGCTAATTTAAGACTTTTTAAGACTTTTTAAGGACCCGCGGATACCCTGAAAACATGCTCATTACATTTGTTGCTTATAATCCCTCCCACATAAAGCAATTTCAGTACCTTCCAGAATGAGCTGTTTCACGGCTGTCACTTTAGAAAGCAAGCTTGAGCCCCTCCCTCACAGTGGCTGCTACAAGCTGAGAAGCTCTCATATGTGGGAGGGGTTTTGAGTAGAGCCGCTGCTACTCCACCAGCAGCTCTCTCCTGCACACGATTGTTGGTTCTATGCCAAGTTTCCTGATTGAGATGTTATAAACTACAACATTTTGAAACGGCTTGTTTAAGACAAATAATTCCTAAAACCGAATACTGACACAAAACGGGTGGACGGATTTTTTTCATGTTTGGAGTGTTTATGGAGGCCGTAAAGATCCACATGGCAGCGCAAAAGGATGCAAAATGTGAGTTTTACATAATATGTCCCCTTTAAAACATCCCTAACTGCAGTCTGTTTTGCCTAATAAGTGATCTTAGAGCTGCATTTCATAAAGACCAGCTCACAAGTATTCCCTATGTATAGTGTGGCACTATGTGAAAGACAGAGACATGAAAATAGTAGCCCCCCATTTTATTTTAGCCTCAAAGACACTTTCTTTTAGTAAGGCCACTACAATGTCAGTTCTATTGTTATATACGTTCCGCCAGCAGAGGGCGCTCAGTCCTGTACACATCGGTAGCTGACGCTACACTAGAAGAAGTAGTGTCAGTGGTGGAGAGGCAGTGTACGGCCTGCGTGCTGAAAGAACTGATTAATCAGATATTTTTCTGTCTTTACAGGTAAGCTGGGGGGTTGCTAAGATAAACAGATGTTATAATAGTGACAGACAGCAGTGGCAATTAATGACGAGTGTCTTGTGTGTGGTGAATGTTAGGCTAAAGAGCTAATTTCCAAGTTGGTCCAGTTGTTAGCCTGTGCCGATTCAAGTATTAGACTGTACCGAAAACTGGCAAGTTCATGGCAGGTGTATTTTTGGGTTAAAGCCACAAGAGGTATGTTTTGCACAATAAGAGAAGATGTCAGTTGATGCATGCTTAGTTCCTGAAAAGTGAATGCTGTAAAAATACGCTAAGGAAAGATGTTTATCTGAAAGAAGTCTAGTTTGATAAATACAGTTACGAAGACAGGTTCATAAATAGATTAAAACAGTGGTAAAAACAACCAGATAAACCTAATGAGAGTTCACTGTGTTATTCATGGGTGTAGTAAAATGTATTTTGGTGATTTAACCAGTTATTAAAATTGGTGCATATGAATATAGAACTGTATAAGTTACTTGTATAAGGTAATGTCAGCTACACTAGAAGAAGTAGTGTCAGTGGTGGAGAGGCAGTGTACGGCCTGCGTTCTGAAAGAACTGATTAATCAGATATTTTTCTGTCTTTACAGTTTTTCTGTAAAAATAAATATGTTGCACGGGAGATGAGTTGGCCCTTCATTTCAGAAGTGTAACATATTTTGGCGAGCCAGCCAGGAGGTGGCGCCAGTGAGTCAACACGATCACCAACCACCTTCTTTCCCAAGAGACGAACCTTCAATCAAAAGAAATGGAATCTCTGCAACCTCTGCGTGATGAAGTGAGTGCAGCCTTGTGGCAGTTGGAGAGAGAGCATCTTGTGGACGTCTGCAGGCGACTGAAATGTTCTGGCCTGGACAGCGCAGAGTCTCACAGTAAGACCAAGAGGACACTCATCAGGTTGGCAGAGGACATGTTTGATGATGTGGAGAAAAGTGAGGAGGAGGATCAAATGAAACAGTTGTATAAAGACATGGCTGTGTACATCCAGGGACTAAGCAAAGGAGAGTGTCACTCAGAGTCTGGGCAAAAGAAATGTTTTGAGGACACCACAGGTACTATACCAACACAGATTGCAGATCTCCCACCCAGAGCCCAATCAGAGGCGATGCGAACTCTGCAGGAGGTGACATTGAGGAGGGAGTTTAAAATCTGTGGGCAGATTGGAGAGCATGGGCAGAAGGAAAAGCTATCCTATCTCAGCCTGATTCGCCAGATCGAGAATGGGAGTGAAAAAGGGCACTCGGACACTGAAATAGTGGAAGCAGTAATTAGGGCAATTAGTCCAGGAACACCCCTAAGAGACATGTTGGAGATAAAACGTGGGTTAACACTTAGCAAACTGCTCACCATATTAAAGGGACACTATAGGGTAGACAGCCCCACTGAGCTTTATCATCAGCTCCTCAATGTCTCCCAAGAGCCCAAAGAAACTGCCTTAAACTTTGTATTTCGCGCCATCGAACTTAAAGAGAAGTTGTTATGGAAAGCGGCAAATGAGGAGACGGATGAACTGTATAGCAGAGCCACCATCCAGCGCAAATTCCTCCGCTCCATTGAAACCGGGCTGCTCAGTGACTCTATCAAGTATCAGCTACTGTCCCCCCTAAACGACATAACCATAACAGATGAAGAACTGATTGAGAAGGTCAATGAAGCTTCAAAGCTAGAAACTGAAAGATTTGAGAAACGGAAAAGGTCTTCTGCAGCCAGAACTCCCAGGGTCCAAGAGCTCCAAGCAGAATGCCAAACAGCCCTGGCATCTGCTCAGAGCCCCTCCAAACCCAGAGAATCCCCTGCTACAGTGGCCATGACAACAGTGAAAAATAAAGAGATTAAGTCAGACATGCAGCAGATTATAGAAGAACTACGTAAAGAGATGAAACAAATGT